TAACGCTTAATACTACTTAGGGATTGCACACTTCTGAATAGACAAAGGGTGATACAGCAAGTCTAAGGCTAGAAATGATACATCACCTTACTGCTTTCACCTGAAGGCAAGAATAACGTAGAGGCTCTGGACTACCTAAAACACCGGCTACTCCATTTCCCCTTGAATGTTTCAAATCCTTAAGATTACAACTCTTCAACAAGAACACAAATCCAAATTATAGATAAATAGCTATTCCAGATATACGCATTTTTGATACAATGCTCCTTGATGTCAGGAACAAACTGTCAGTGAAGAGGCTCTCCCATAAAGTTTCTCATAAGGGGTTTCCTATATCAAGCTATGCTCCCACCCAGTATAAAACTGGAGCCTAGAAAACAGATTTTCTTTTTTTTTTAATCCTGCTGTCCTTCTACTGCAAAGAGAAAAATTCCTCAATACTTTGTGTGACTGCTTTTTTTTTTTTCCCCATACAAAGAAGTGAAAACAGATATGGTAAAGCAATCTGTGGATACAGAACTTATGGAACTATCAGATTTAAGACAATACCATAGGTGTTAAAGGATAGTAGTTTTCAATTTTCAAGCATAAAATTATGTCAGTAGTTCATGTCTGGAGGAAAAAGGAATTACATTCTCACTTCTTAGATCTTCCGAATTTCTTGTTTGCAGTGAACTTAAAATCTCTTGTTTTACAATGGAAAGCAAAATAAAGCCACAGTACTATTCTTAACATTCATATGTAAAAGTTAGACATACAAAAGCTGGTATCAGCAGGTTTTCCTGCTCTGTTTTGACATTTACATAGATAGAAGTTATAATTTGGAAAATCTCCTTTTTTTTGTGGACTTTAAGTTATTAACTTATCTTGTTCAACAGTCACATCCAAAAAGCTACTGATGTGGACAAGGAACTCCCTGTTCTCTGTGTGAAGTGATAGCTGCTTGTTGTAACAAGGCTAAGTTCAAGTTTTCTTTTTCCTTTCAAATGATATAAGCCACAGAACAATGGAGAAGTTCAGGTTTTGTATGCAAGTACTGTTACTGGATAGCCACAGAAAAGCAGCATTTAGCCAAAGTAAAAACAAACAAGTTAACCCCTACTCTTCTCATAGGAGGGAAACTGCTTCTTTGCATATACACACACAGCAAAGGAAACAGGCCCTACAAATCAAAGTCCAAACAGTGCTCATTTAATAGTGCTGTAGCTAAGCATTTAAGGGTTTTACTCTACTGCTCCTTGAACTGAAAGCAGCAGCTAACATTAAGACTACTGTGGAACAGACAAGTAACATACTATGACTTGAATGAAAGCGCTAGTGTAAAACAGGATGTACAGAGAACATAGCATTAATTTTACAGCTGCTCACATGTCAGACTAGATCTGCAAAAGCTGTTTACACAAGAGATCCAAAGTCAGAACAAGTGATTGAAAACAGTAGAATTTATGAAAACTGCCATTATAATTTATCAGTAAGAGACTCCTGTTTCTCATCATCTAAATTTAATTTTGTTTGAGAAAACTACTCAACAACAAAAAGGACATAAAAGGTTGCTTTGACAAAAACATGAAAGCTGAGTTAACCAGTCAAGTGTGGTATGCTCAACCCAGACCTGTTTACTGAAAGGTGAAACATGAAAGAAGCTATTCTTAGAGAATAAAAAGCTGCTTACTAGTGCCTAACTCATTAATTGAGGTCTTGCCAAGGCAAGGCTTGTCTATTTGCCAACTGACAGCCTTCATCAGGCTGGATTATTTCGCACTAACTTCATTTTCCCAAAATATTATTTTACCTGCACTGCATTACCCTGAAAGACTGTATTCCCTTACAGTCCCTTTCTCAGGAGGGACCTCAGAGTCTCAGAAAGAAACTGACAAAATCTTACAGAAACAGAACAATCAAGAAAAAGAGAATTCAGAATTGGATAGATTCATTCAGGTTTCTTGTTCCCTCAACCAAGGAATTTACATACCATCAACTGAGGAATTTACATACCATTTCCCTAGCATAATAGGTTCAAGGTTAAATTGCAGTACATTTAACTATGACAGTGACAGTTCTAGTAGTGAGTTCCTAGTCACCCAGCATTTGAGATGTTCTTAAAAGCATTTAAGCCTATCTTTATTATTTTTAAAAGTGTGAATGTTTAACTGAGACAGTTACGAATTCATGAGAACAGCTGACAACTGCAAGTGAAACTGAAGGCTAAAGTGCTCCAGCTTTTACGTAACCACACCTTGTGTACAACTTGGTGCTAAACCACGTGACAAACTGCAAGAGCACGTCAGCATTTATCAGACCAAAGCTTCGACCCAGCACAACAGCTGCTTTGTTTAATAAATGGGGTATACTATTAATGTACACTATGACTTCCTGATGCCTCTTCAAGAGTGAGGAAAACAAGGGAAGCAAGGCAGTGAGATTCTAAGTACTATGTGAGCCAGTAACACACTCTCTGTAATCTGACAACCCTGAACCTATGGTTTTCAAGATCACATATCACTGAAGTGAAGGCAAACAGACACCTCAGTAAAGTCAGCTAAATAACTTCCTCTAGCACTTCATACTTAGGAGTTATCGCTAAAGTTAACAGAGTAACAGCCCAAAGCTGTTTACTTCCATGCACAATGAAGTATTTTTGTCTTGTCACTTGAAGGATGTATATCTAAATAAATAAACAGTTGTATTAACAAAATTAGTTGTGTGCCTCACAGGCACTTAGGATTGTGTCCCTGAGTAGACATCTCCTCCTCCTTGTAACAATCTGAAAAACTCATTTGATTAAAAAGCAGAAGTGCTCATGAAATTCTGACAGGCAAGAATGAAGGCTCTGGAAACCACTGTTCTGAGATATAGCACTTCAGAACTCACTTCCAAGTAGTTACTTTGCTATCACGCTGCAAGTATTTCTGATCACTGTGAGAAAGAAGGCTGCATTTCTGAGGGAATGAGCAGCACATCTGATCTGGTGTATCAAAGTTACACTCCACCACTACTTACAGACAGCCCCTGATGTCAGGCCCCTCACTTGCTGTACAGCCTGTGAAACCTAACAGGCTGACATCAAAAACAGGAGAACTGGCATGGTTTTACTACCAAATACTGCAAACACTGATAGTGATGGGTGCTGAAATACAAATACCAGGGGAAAGTTTAGCAGTGTTACATAACGGAGTTAGGTTATTACAGAAAACTCACCTAGTAACCGGCACTTAATTTGTACCTCATGTTTTAGAATTCTGAGAGCATAAAAGGGAGTGTACTACTATGGTATCAGACAGAGGATGATGCCTTGAAAAAAGGCCAGTTAGATTAGGACCTACCCATTCAGAAAACACATTGCAAGTTACATATCCAAAATCTTTAGGTGTGCCCTAAAAGATAAAGGAAACCTTACTTCCTCCCATTACCTCGTAATTCTACCTGGTGTCTAATTAGACCTTGGTATGTGGTTAACAGGTAATTGGGTTAAGGAGTATACTTACTGAATTTCCTTTTCACATCTTCCCTCTCCCTCCCCCCAAATTTCTCAGCTGTTTTTGTTTTAAATATGATAGTGTCCTCATACAAAATACCCCAGCTACAGTCCTTGGTTCGTACAATCATCTGTAACAAACAGTGCAGAACTGCTCCACCTTCCCACCCCCAAGATCAAATTGCACACAAGATTCATTCACCCTTACTTGAAGCATATTAAGAATTAGAAACAATACTCCTCAGGTCAAGCATAACACAGAAGTCTTAGAGATACGAGATCCAATTTTACTTTCATTAAAGAAAGTGGAACATATTAATGTAATGCAAATTGCTCAGGGCCTTCCCAGTTGAATTCTGCTTTTCTGCTTTTGATATCAGGTCAGTCTTGCCTCAGGGTACTCCTGAGGTCCCTTCCAATGTGAGTAAGTTAATGATCATTACAGAACCTACTCCCAACCAAAGCAGGTAATTACAAAAGTCAACTTTGGGAGTGAATCATTGGGAGCTTCACTAGAAGACACAAAACTTAAGATAATGAAGACTCAAAACATGTGTAGATAGGAAGACCTAAAACTGCAAGCTGTGCATAGAAAGCAAGCTAGAAACAATGTAAGACTAGTTTACAGCTTCACAGAAGCAGCATTGAAGCCACTGGAGAAGGGAAGGAAGAATGGTTGATGCTCACAAGTTCTTCAACTCATATGGACAGTTCTATTTAAAATAAGACCACATTTTTTGTTTCAATTCTGGAGCAAACCCCTTGTCAAGTGGCTAGATACACAATCACATGTGAAACAGATGATCTGGGAACACAGCGTAGAGCAGCCACTATTTAACCACAGCAATTACTTTGTTTAGTGTATTTTATGTCCTTTAACAGTGTTCAAACTATAGCCAATTTAACTTTTGGCCTTCTGTGTGCTTTCATCATCTTCTAAACACATGAAGCTTTTACTTCAGGGAAATACTTTCTCTACTGTTCTACAAAAGCCAACAGGAAGTATCATATCAAAAACTTCTACAAACTTCTACAAACTTCTAAATAAAAGTTGCAGATTTCTTCAAATGCACATTTAAGTTTTGCATTCTTATGATACTGTATAAAAGACAAACATCTCATACTCTCTACACAGGAAAACGCACACAAAACAAACTATTGTTTCATCCATTCACACCAAACAACAGTCTTCTATTTAAGACACCATTTAATAAAACATAATTAGTCTTAAGAGATCTCCCCCACCTTATAAACAAATCTTACAAAGCTTAGAGATCCTTCCCCTAGGCCCAACCACATTTAAGCCATTTAACTGGCCTTGTAGCTGGTTTTGTGTTTTTTAACATAATAATCTTGTTAAACTAGTCTCAGCTAGTGTCTAAACATATTCAGGATAACTTCATACTCATGCTATGTGCAAGTAGCCAAGTGGGGCAAGAACATTCTATAGAGCACTCAAGTGTTCTGAGAAGAATCTCAAGTGATCACTTGGAACAGGCAAAACACAACAGATCACAACACTTACTTTTCATAGACCAGTTCCTCATCGGTACAGAAGTAGTGGGTATTTGCGGTACTTTTTGGTTTATTCCTCAAAGTAGCAAAGTACAGCCGATCTGAAAAAGACAAGGGCAGCGTCACAGGGTAGACCAAGCAGCTCAGCACTTCTCCACTGCACCCCGCAGCCCTGTCCTGCCCCACCACGCAACAGGCAGAGCTGAGCCATTTCTTGGCCCAGGCATCCAGGAAGAAACCAGCATCGTGGCCTGTATCAGCACCAGTGTGGCAGCAACGCCAGGGCAGGGACTGTGCCCCTGCACTGGGCACTGGTGAGGCTGCACATCAAATCCTGTGTTCAGCTCTGGGCCCCTCACTACAAGACAGACATTGAGGTGCTGGAGCAGGGCCAGAGAAGGGCAAAGGAGCTGGTGCAGGGCCTGCAGCACAAGTGTGATGGGGAATGGCTGAGAGACCTGGGGGGGCTCAGTCTGGAGAAGGCTCAGGGGGGACCTGATCGCTCCCTACAACTGCCTGACAGGAGGATGGAGCCAGGAGGGGCTGGGCTCTGCTCCCAAGGAACAAGGGATGGCACAAGAGGAAACGGCTTCAAGCTGCACCAGGGCAGGTTTAGATGGAGCTGAGGAACAATTCCTTCCCCAGAGGGTGCTCAGGCGTTGGAACAGGCTGCCCAGGGCAGTGCTGGAGTCACCGTCCCTGCAAGTGTTCACACACCGTGGAGACGAGGCCTCAGTGCCATGGGTTAGTGGTGGCCTTGGCAGTGCTGGGAAACAGTTGAACTGGATGGGCTTAAAGGGTTTTTCCAACCTCGTGAACTCCATGATCTTTTTTCTCCTGCGAAGAGCGGCGGCGGGGGTGCGAGCACCCGCTCAGCCCGGCCGGACACCCCTCGGTGCAGAAAGGCTGAGATTTCTGATCCACAACACAACCACACATCGCAACAGGTGCCGGCCCCGCTTCTCACCGGAAAAGACAGCAGGAAGGAACCGCTTAGGCGTGCCCCGCGGCGGCCGTGGGGCCGGCAGCTCACGAAAACCGCAAGGCGAAAGGGGCCGAAGCCGACCCGGGCACGCAGCAAAAGCGCAGGGAGCTAGGAGAGAGATGCGGGGAAGGGGAAAAAAGCCAGCGAGCCTCCTTCCCGAGGGAAGCTCCGGCGAGCGGCACCCCCGCGGGCAGGGGACGGGGAGAGCTCCCCGGCCCGTTCTCACCTTTCATGAACTCCGAGGCTCCCCCAAGTACTTCAGAGGCGGCTGCCGCCGGCTCCATCTTAAACAGGGCGCGGAGCAGCGAGGCGCGGGGAGGCTCCGAACTCATGGCGGGGCCGGGACGCGCTCTCTGGGAAGCGACCCAATGCCCGGAGGGGCCGCCCCCTTGCCGGGGGCCACGCCGCGGGAAGCGCCGCTGCCGCAGCCCGCATAGGAGCAAGAGCAGAGACGAGCACTAGCTCCGGGACACGGCTAGCGGCCGCGGAGACTTCAACTCCGCCCCGCCCGCGGCGCGGAAACGCCCCCGGATAAAGAGGCAGCAGGCGGTTACCAGGCGACCGGCGGCGCGCTAGCAACCTCGCTACGAGCCTTTGTCTCGCCCGGCCCGAGGCCGAGCCGCGCCAGTGACCAGCCCTCCTCCTTCTCCGTCCCGCCCTCGCTCCTTCGCTCTCCGCGTCCGCCCGGCCGCCACGCCCTCCACCTCACAGAACCTCACCGCCCGGCGAGGCTCCGCCCTCCGCCCTAGCGCTGCGCTCACTCGCACTTCCCGGGGCACCGGGACCCTCTGCGCGACCCCGCAGCCCGAGGCAAACGCCCTGCAGAGGCAGAAGTACAGCTCGCAGGGCCTGAGGCGGGGGTAGCACCTCCGGGAAGGGGCGGCGGGGGCAGCGCTAGTACGTTTCCCTCTCTGGGACACTTGTATGCGCTGGGGCCGGGCCCGGCCCGGCCCGGCCCGGCAGGGTGTGCACCACCTTTTCGGTGGATTGACAAGGTGACTCGCCAATCAAAAGCCGCCTTCCTATCTCTCCAACCAATGAGAGAGCGGTGCCTGGTGACGTGCCCTCGAGCGGGGTTCTCCTCAGCCGAGTTCTGGAGCCTCCTAGCCATAGGCAGCCAGTCACTTGGCGGCCGCTGGGCAAGGGAGAGCTTCTTAAAGCGTTTCAAAGACACTGGTTAAACTACACAAAACTACTTTCCCTTTTCTTCTTCTTCTTTGTTTTTTTTTTTTTGTCCCTTAAAGATTGATTTTCTGGTGGTTCATTTGCAAAAGCTGAATTAGTTTGTAGTCTGCGATTAACTTTCTGCCAAACAAACAGGAGTGTTGAAAATGTTAGAAATGCCTTTTTTCTACCAACTTCCTTTTTCGAAAGAATTGCCGAGTGCCAAGCAGGGCAGGCTGTCCATCTCATTGTTACAACTAACCAAACCAAACAAAAACCATCCTTGAAACACCTTAAAAAACATGCAATGCAAAGTAACATGCAGCCCTGAGGTTCATGTTATTATCACCATGTTTTCCAAACACTGTAAATAAGCTCCCATAATTACCAGTTCATATAATTGATTCTAAGTTGTTTGTAGATGAGGCTAAATGCAAGTGCCATAAGCAATGGATGCTCTTTAAGGCCTTATAAATACACTGAAGTACTACAGAAAATACTTCTCATGCAGTTGTAGTTGCTTATTTATTTTCTGTGTTTGTTCCAATAATGTGTACCTGTGTTCTCAAATGGCTCTTTTTTGCCCCCGTTTTTCATAACTCCAGAACTAGTATTCCTAAGTATGCCTGTTTGGGCCTGGTCCTGCGAATTTACGTAAGAAACATTTTTCTCAGAAGTTAAGTACTATTCCATACAAGATGCTTGCAAGACTAAGAGCACAGTCTTCTGTACCAGGAGATTAAATAAAGGTTGTTGGGGGCTATTTGCTCTTTATGGAAATCGATGTGCTTATCTTTTCCTGGATTGCTTGAGATTGCTTACATTTATAGCTAACCCTTAATTAAATATTTAAATTTTATTTGTAAGCAATTTTCTAAGGGGTAACATATCCTCAGTAAGAAAAGAGGTATCAATGTATTTTCTCCAGAACCATTGTTTTTAACAGCCTTTTTTTACTCAAACTTTCACTACAGTTCAATGTAACACACATTTCTAAGTCTGTGCTGCACTCTGCTGCAGGGGTGTTTGAATGAGTATACTCAAATTAGCTTTAACAAAGCTATCTTGGGCAACAGAAGCAAAGATGGAGCAGTGTAGCAGGCTAGCTATCCAGGATCCAGAATCCCTAGATACCTAGTTTGTGTTAAAGCCTATTATTTGTAAGTCCCTCTAGCTAGGCTAGTAAATCTAGGAGGCAAAGGTGTCTAGAAACTGAACCCCACTGTCAAATGTTATTTGTATACCACTTATATACCTTTTGTAAAAATTACAAGTATTGGTTTCGTTACATAGCAGTTCTTGTGTGGCACTTAGCTGGAACCTTTGTAAGCATAAAAAGTACTTAAAATAATCTTTCTCCCCTGTAAAAATATGCACAAAATAACCTCCATGTTTTTTCAGTTCCAGGGTTATATCTCATAGCTTTTAGTATGATTATCTAATGCAGCTCACCTTGCAAAATGCTAGCTTTAGGAATGTTCTCACCTCATATAGTTTTGTTGATTTTAATAAATTTCAATTACTATTTTTAACATTTAATGGTACCAAATACCAAGGCTACAGTGACATCTTGTGGCGTTTTTTAAGCTGCATTTAAAGAAGTAATTTTCTTGTAGTCCTGTTGCATCATTTTAAGACTATATCCTGAAGTTTTCAACAAGAATTTTTTAAATATCTTTTAGATGCCATTTTTAAAGGCCTGTGTTCCTAAACATTAATTTCTATAGAACATTCAGAGGTGGTGATGAACCTGTTTAGACTGTAAAACACTTCCAAATGACATCTAATCTCTCAGAAGAAATCATCACATACATATTATTTTGTTAAAAGTATAAATCCTCAGTAATATATTTTATTAACGAATCCTAAGGAATTTTGGTAGCCATCAAGGTATAAAAAGTTGTCAGCCTTTAAAAAATAAACAAAACCCTTTTGGTTCCTAAGCACAATGAATCCAGAGATGAAATCATATCTTCAAATTTTCTTTTGCTATCTAGGTCTAACTAACTGCTTAAAGCTGTGGTTTTTGGTGGCTTTTCTCCCTCAGTTTATTTTCTCATTAATTTAGGCCTTACCAAAATTAAGAGAATGTAAATGCCAATAAGTACATGTTTTTTTAAAAAATGAAATCTTGGTGCTGCTCATCTGTATGCAAACTGTGAGCTTACTTTAGACATCTAACACTGAAACCAATCTGGTTTACATATTTTATTTGACAATGGTACAAATTAAATTTAACAGTATAACAAAATCTTGTTCTATTAATTCACTGATACAGAAAAACAAAAAGTAATCCCACCTTGTCGCTGAACCCAGGATACAACCCAAACCAACTCCTCCCCAGCAAAGAAGCCAATAGTGAGACTTGGCTGAGCTGCCAGTTCATTTCACTCTTTTTAAAAGTAAGGTAAACAACACCTGTGAGCCTTAACAATTCTAGTTGATACTGCAAAGAACAGAGATTACACATCAGTGAGTAAATGAAACGCAGTAAACTGCCATGAGGAAAGCTGCATTTCTGGAAAGATTGCAGACCTGCTTGATTACTACTTATCACTACAGCACAGTAATTAAAATCTACTTTTCACTATTAAAGTAAAATTAAGCAGACTTTACACTGTCATGTTAAGATTTTGCCCTTTAAATCTTACAAAAGTACTAGGAAGACTTCACTGAACAGAAACAAAATCCTTTAACACTGATAGAAGGTGGCAAAAGAATTCTCCATTCCCCCAAAGACTTACATCCAGAATCAGCCCAGCTGTAAAGAATTTGTCACATTTTTCAACCACTTTTTGTCAGCTAACATTACAAAAACTGAAAAAATGATACACCCATTTTGTGCAGATGCTATTTGCGTACTTGGTATTAGGTGTTAATGATTGCCCATAGATACCTTTGAACTGGTATTAAGAATCAATTAAAAGCTGATGCAAATGAAACTATATCTACTTTGGATGCCAGATTTGATTCTTTTCTGTGATCCAAGAAAATCTATTTTCTTTCCTCCATACCACAAAAATAAGTGTAACTTCAATGGAAAAGGTCTGTCCAATCTTTGTCAACACACTGGTTGCAGAACTACAGCATCCCAATCTAACAAAAGCTGTTAATAATAGCTCTGTTTCTTCCTATAGATGAGGCCAGGGAAATCAGAGACTCGTAACAGTCCAGCCCTGTCAGATACTTTAAAAGATTTTTATTTTTTTTTTAATAATGCTTTACTCATTCATTGCACATTGTAATTGTTGCCATAGCCACAAAACCAGAGATGAAAGCAACCAAAAAGTAAGTAAATACTCATGTGGATGCCAGAGAGGGACTGTTCATCAGGGACTGTAGCAACAGGACAAGGGATGATGGGTTAAAACTGGAACAGGGGAAGTTCAGGTTAGATCTAAGGCAGAAGCTCTTCCCTGTGAGGGCAGTGAGGCGCTGGCAGAGGGTCCCCAGAGAAGCTGTGGCTGCCCCATCCCTGGCAGTGTTCAAGGCCAGGTTGGACACAGGGGCTTGGAGCAACCTGCTCTAGTGTGAGGTGTCCCTGCCCATGGCAGGGGGGGTGGAACTGGATGAGCTTTAAGGTCTCTTCCAGCCAAAACCAGTCTGGGATTCTATGATTCTATGAAAGAGTAGCTAAAAAAACAGCAGACAAGTAATACAAAAAAAGGTGCACTGTCATATATGTAGAACAGCCTGCTCTTATTAGCAATGGTAAATAAGACATATTTTAAGAGTGAGGTTTTTCTTGGGCATATTTTTGTAACAATGTACATGCAAAATATAAAAATAAAACTAAGACTAAAGAATTAACATGTAATATCCCCTCAATTTCTTCTGGCTGTTTATAAAAGTTTCATATTTTATGGATTCATGTTTCTTGCATTTCTAGCTGCTAGGTTTTACCTTTCAGCTGCTTGTAGTGTTTCAGCAACTTTAGGCAAATTAATAATGGGGAAAAAAGCCGCATCAGAAAATATTTTCCACTATCTCAGCAGTAGTAGATGCTGTAAGCAACCATTTTAGGACTATCTGAGATTAAGGTGAGGTACTCTTCTCCGGCTAGCAGCTTCAGGAACATCTCAGAATACAGAATAGTTTATATATACAAACTTCATAGGTTTTTTTTACAGGAGTCTAGAAGCCTGGCCAACAGTTTACTGTAGCCCTTCTACAGTTTCACTGGGAAGCAGGAGGAGAAGGGGGAAGTCAAGGAAGTATCTCAAGATGTAACTATAAAAAATATGCCTAGACCTCATTTAACTAGATTAACATTGAAATAAAAATCTAAACATAAGCACTGCAAGTGTAGGAGTGCATTTTTCTCTGCATGTTTCTGAAGAACTGGCCTAATTAATTGTAATAGCTTTTCAAGTTTTAATGAAATGAGATGATTTTATCACAGCTAAACATTAGTATATATTAAGTTTTCTCAAAATTTACGTTGGAAAATTAGTAAGAAAGGAAAAAAAAAACTAAGAAGCCATGTGGAAAAAGTTGAGAAGCTACAAATAAGGATGGCCAAGATGCAGTAATCAGACCTTCTCCTCTCCTTGAACTCAGTACAATTCACTGAGTATTGTTTAACTTTTAACCCCTTAAATCCATTGGCTTACATTTTATTCTTGTGATTGGCATAATTAGGAAAACCAAACTGAGAAATCATGATATTAGAATATTTTAAAGGCATGCCATCATAAATATTAACCAGTTTATTTACACAGTAAGATCTCTGTAACAAATGCTCTGCTCGGTGCCACATTCCAGAATAGCCACTGTTAGTGTCTTTTTCTAAATTCCTGATGTCAACAGGCTTCACAAACACTCCTGAAGGTTTCCCAGTATGCTTGGCTACCAGAAAATTCATGGCAATATCATCACAATTTTGAGTTTCATCTATTAAAGCATAAACTGCTTCTGGCTGTCTTTGAAAGTCTTCTAAATATCCACTATGAAAAAATGCTGCGCCGATAAGAACCATAGAATACTGATCTCCGTTTCCAAATCCAGGGCTCTGCAACTCGAAGCTGCCGTAACTGTATACACCTGAAGGAGTAGAAATGTGCTTCCTAGGGACAAATCCCACTATCTGCTCTGGAAATTGCTGAGAGAAAAAATAAATTTAAACAATTAAAGTGAACACACTGTGAAATGTGTGTTAAGAATTGTCATAAGTGAGATTTATGCTTTTAAAAAAGAAATGAGAAGAGCACAAGATTATTGCCAGGAAAGAATGAAATTGTTGGCATATGGTCCCTTGATCTGCATAAACATTGCAATTTAACACAGTTTCACAGAACTGACACAATATGCCTCATTTGATGCTATGTAGTGCCAAGAAACATCTACACACAATTTGCAGCTGTATAATTGGCATTCAAAATAACTTCATAGACAATTTCTCTTGGAGATGAAAAAACCCCACAAGTTTTGGTTTGCTGCCTCCTATCAATTTAAATAAATTCAGCAGTCAGCAACTTCGGTGTTCTTGCACAAGAAGAGTTACAAATTTGAAAGACAGATTACAGGTATAGCTAGTATTGAATATTTTTGCAATTGCTACTGTTCAGTGCTTCAATCCTTCTAAAATCTAGCTGTATAGCTAGAAAACTGGTAGTAAAGCATGAAGATATGGTATTACTCTTACTTAAAACCATTCATCTCAATTGTAACTCTCAAATACTGCATGACAAGGTGCAAAACATTACCTGCCAAACAGAGAAGGCGAAAGTAAGGTCATGAGCACTGACTAGTGTATCATCATCCATCATTAAAACAGCTGAAAAGGGGAGAAAGAAAACCACATTTAACTTCTCAAAAGATTAAACAACTTAAGATCCTGCTAATCTTGCATAAAAATGCAACCAAAGGAGTTAGATACCATTCTTCAGAGTATGAGATTTATAAGGGATTCTCAGCATAAAATTTTACCCATCCCCTCACTACTTGCAAGGTCTAACAAAGCAAGCTTAATGAATTGCACAGGCAACATTCAATAGCATGAACTACATAAAGAAGAATCTTTGCCTTAAATTTTGGGCAAAAGACTATCAGGAAGTGGAAAATGAAAGATACTCTTAGATCAGAACTTCAGGTACATTAAAGCTTTTTAAGTTTACAGTCAGTGTAAACCCTACTACAGTAAATAAAACACTTTGGATGCTGAAGTTTCTAGTGTCTTCCTAGAAGTCATGGCTTTTGATTTGCAAGTCATATTAGGAAGGGGACAGTAAACAGAATTGCCTTTACTAATCATAGAAACATATGATCCCAGACTGGTTTGGGATGCAAAGGGCCTTAAGATCATCCAGTTCCAACCCCCTGCCATGGGCAGGGACACCTTCCACTAGAGCAGGTTGCTCCAAGCCCCTGTGTCCAACCTGGCCTTGAACCCTGCCAGGGATGGAGCATTTACCACTTCTTTGGGCAACCTGTGCCAGAGCCTCAGCACCCTCACAGGGAAGAACTTCTGCCTTAGATCTAACCTGAACTTCCCCTGTTTCAGTTTGAACCCATCACTCCTTGTCCTCTCTCCACAGTGCCTGATGCAGAGTCCCTCTCCAGCATCTCTGTAGCCCCCTTCAGATACTGGAAGGCTGCTATGAACATACGGGATTTTTTTTTCCACTTGAAACAAACAGATTTATTGTTGTGCTTCTCCTGCAAAGAGCTTATGAAGAATATTTAGATGAATAGCCAAAAGACTGGGGAAAATACTCTTAAAAAGATTCCATAATTTGAGGTAGAAAGCCAGACAGCTAGGGATGGAAATTTCAGAAGAGCACGTGCCTGAGAACTCAGCTGTAAATAAATGGATTAAATGAAGTCATTATCAGATGACTTAAATCCAGATTAATGCAGAGACTCAGCAAATACACGCACTATGAATTTTAGTTTACTCTGTAAAGAGACGCTGAACTAGCTGTGTTTGCCTGACAAAGGAAATGGAGAACACCTTGCAAAAAGCCTGTGAATGCATTTGACATTCCTCTTTTTTTCCTTACTCTTTACTGAAAGCCTGCTGGTAGTGGTGGTGTGTATCTGATGTCATAACGTAGCTTTCTTCCATATTAAGTGGACCAACAGATCTATGGGCTTATTATACAGTAAAACTCAAACCATCTCCCTTTTAGCATTTAGCTTTTAAGTGTGCAAATAGTAATAATAGTAGCAATATGAACTGCTGATTACCTTTAGTTTCCAGCTCTGGGAAATTCTGGAGTCTGTTCCTCATGCGATTTACAGTTTGAACTTTAAAGACAACGGGGACAGGATGAGGTCCCAAGGAATTCCACATTTCCTCTGGTATCTTCTCACCAATGTTGTTCCACACAACAATTACTTTATGTAGGTGGGGGATGGCTTGATAATGATTTAAAAGCTTTAGCAGTAAGTCTGTTCTATTATATGTCTGCATAATAAGAGTAAATGCATCCAAGGCAGACTGACTCTGGGTTTTTGGTTCCCTTCTCGAATTGGGCATTTTGTCATCTTTGATACTGGGAAGCAAAGCTGTCAAAGCACCTGCCACAAGAAGTAAAACAATGATCACCACTGAAGTGAAGCGCAGTAGGCGGATTCCCTTAATTCTTCCTGGGAGCTTACAGAAGTGGAAATACCTTTAAAACAAGTAACAGGAAAGGAAAAGTCATTAATCCCACTTATAGTTATCTCCCTTACATGAGTGAACTCCCACAGTATTAAACAGACTTTTGTTTAAGTAAATAAATATGGAGGATTTTAGGATTTTTGATCTTTAAGGTCCCTTCCAACACAGCCATTCAATGATTCAGCCAATTATGTTCAACTATCAAGACACATACTTCTGGTACTCAGTTTCTACGTTTATTTGCTTTTCACCTTTTCTGGTTAACATCACATTTCATTATTTTGTGCAAATGAATCTGGAGTAATTCTTTAGATTGCTGTCTCTTATTTTCTCAGTACTGCATTTTTGATTGAACATTTATTTACATACATACATCCAGCTGAAATTAGAAAGCAAAATTGTAGAGAAAGTCAGAATTGCAGGAGCTCTTGCCTTAGCTGAGAAACAAAAGGCAGAGAAAGCGTGTCCTCAAGAGCTCTTGCAGAGAGGAAGAAGTAAAACGGTCTTTCTTTCTCCACCATCCAAGGAAGGAACAATCTTTATCACTGGTTTGTTGGACACTCAATAGTTTGTATATACGCTCCACATATAATGTGGAAAATACGATTCTGATCATGCTAACTGAGGCTGTAGCACAGGTGGAGCAAAAGAAACATGCCAAATGGAATAATGTAGGAATGCAACATCAGTAACAGCTGCTCTGCTAAATCTAGAACTCAGTGGAAACTGAAAATGCCAGATGCTAGAAGCTATGTATCAGCTAAGTGGCAGAGAAGCTGCAGCATAAGGCAGGAGTTTCTGCATCCTCCTGATTCTGGAACTGAACAGGAGCTCTTAAAAGGCAGCTCCTACAAAGGTAGTCCAAGTGTTCATGCCTCTTAGGTAGCACTTCTAGTTCTCCAGACATCTATAAAGTGTAAACTTCGCAGGATCCAACAGCTACTTCATTCCAGTTTGCTCCTCAAATGTGTCATCCACATGCTCTTCATCCTTTACTCACAAGATGAGTATACACTGAATACAACAGTAATATTCTGTTGTGGTTTAATCTTAATTCTAAAAAATAACTCTTCTATACATATTACGCATGTTACTCCACTAGTAATGTCATAGAATCACAGGCTGGTTTGGGTTTGAAGGGACCTCAAAGCAGTTCCAACCCCCTGCCACAGGCAGGGACACCTTCCACTAGGCCAGGTTGATCCAAGCCCCTGTGTCCAACCTGGCCTTGAACACTGCCAGGGATGGGGCAGCCACAGCTTCTCTGAGCAACTTGTGCCGGCGCCTTAGCACCCTCACAGGGAAGAGCTTCTGCCTAATATCTAATATAAATCTCCCTTCTTTCAGCTAAAACCCATTCCCCCTTGTCATGTTGCTACATGCCTTTGTAAAAAGCCCCACTGGGAGCTGCTCTAAGGTCTCCCCTTAGGCAGCCTTCTCTTCTCCAGGCTAAACCAGCCCAGCTCTCTCAGCCCGGCTCCAGAGCAGAGCTGCTCGCACCATCTCTGTGGCCTCCTCTGAATCTGCTCTAGCAGCTCCATGTCCTTTTCACTTTGGGTGCCCCAGAGCTGAATTTCTAGGCTTTTACCAGGGAATTCTGATCAAATTAAGTGATCCAGGACATCAGTTATAGTTCCTGAGAAAGTGTCAGTGTTTTGGCATAGAAATATTGATAATTTGTTTTCCAAAGTGCACATACCATGCTTGAAATGCAAATGATTTTAGTCTAAATGTAAATAATTTTAGTCTAAAAAACTCTTGAACTTACTTCATTATTGCCAAGTGGTTTCCCCACCTCGTTTTTGCAGGATAGTTGTTTGTGATCTTTTAATCTGTTGGAATTTAAAAGGACTCTATAACTGAAGAGCAACAGTTACCCACATGCTACCCAGCATTCCTTTACAAGCACACATTCCTCAGTTCAATAATTGTCTCTGCCTTTCCATGAACACTCCAGAAAGAAGTTGTTACACCAGTTGGTTACAAAGAAAAGCACAGCCCACTTCTCTGCTTGTAAAATTGCTGCTCTGCGTCAATGGAAATGTCTGTGTGCCCCATCCTTAGGGTCAACTATGGAGATACAAGTAGGATTCCGGAACCTCACAGTCTGTACATATTTAGCTACCAGTCAGGCGAGCAGTCCCAATAAAATTATTTTCTGCCTCATCCGCTTCCTGATGTCACGGAATCACAGAATCAACCAGGTTGGAAAAGCCCTTTATGCTCATTCAGTCCAATCGTTGCCCAGCACTACTAAGGCCACCACTAACCCATGGCACTGAGGGCCTCGTCTACATGGTGTGTGAACACTTGCAGGGATGGTGACTCCAGAACTGCCCTGGGCAGCCTCCTTCCACTGAGCTTACCAGTCCTGTTACAGGTTTAAGACATGGCATTTTTTCTCCCCCCCACCCCCCCACCCCGTTTGGCAGCAGGGAAAACAAATACAAGTGTAAGCACAAGCAGGAAGAATGTACAAGATGCAGGACAGCAACTTAAGAAACTTGAGTCTGTCAAGGCTCCTAGGCTGTTGGAGGGATTTTTGTTCTTTTAATCCTAATTGAACAAAGATAGGGAGCTTTTATTTTTTATTTCATTACTATGAAAGCGTAGAGAACAAAGATTTGCTGAGCTTGTTAAATAATTTAACTACGTGAAATTTCAGAAGAGTGGCTTGTTTAGGTTATATCAACTTGTTTCTTATATGTATGGAGTTGCCAATTTGTATCTATACCAGTCTGAGTACATCTACACATACAGGGCATCCCAAATTTGAGTTTTTTACCACTGACTTATTTGATGTGTGGCTGGAGATGTCACAGAAACTATTTCCAGAAGCTCATCACTTGTTTGGGTGCTTCATTTTAAAGCTGTAGACACTGATACCTGACTCATACAAACTCAAACTGGAACTTGGCCATACATGCTTTCAGAGAGGTGAACCTTAGCTTCTCTTTCCCTAGGTGCCACCTACTTGCAGCCATGCTGACCAATGCTACTGTTACAATTAACTATTTAAAGATTTAAAAACATGGTGAAAATATGAATGTCTGCTGTGGAAATGAGACTTCTTGGCTTGCCATACGTTCTTGTGCGTACTCAGTTGCATATGATCAGCTGTAATGGTGACAAGGATGACATTATTATGCATTCTTTAGTTAAAATAAACGCCTATATAAAACCTTTAGAACGAGCATTCAATGGACCTTCCAGCAGAGAAATGCCAATGAGTTTTGCCAATTAAATTATGAAACTGAAGTTCAAGACTGACCTCTTGAAAAAATTCTTACAATACCCCCTGTAGAGAACAAAACCAAAACCAGAACGGATGGAAATCAAGACCTATGTCAAAATACAGTATTTTTAATACAAGTCCTGAGTGGGTCCCCCCCTCTCCGTGGGCACCATTTCATATCGATCCCGCGCAGCCGAAGCGGACAGGTACCCCCGGCCCGGCTCCCCCCGTGCACGGGTTCGCTCACGTTCGGGTGGCCGCCCGAGCCCTCCTGAGGCGCTGCAGCAGGCGGGCCGTGCTCCCAAGACGTCCCTGCCGCTGTCCCGGGGACACGAGACGACAAAAGGCGCCTGCCCGGTACCCCGCGGCTCGACCCGGCCGCGCAGCCGCTCCGCTGAATTAGGGGCGGTGCGGCCTTGCCCCGCCTGCTGCGGGGCGTTCCCGTGCTTCCTCCCGGCAGGCCGCGGGTTGTAGTCCGGGTGCTGCCGCGGGCACGGCGGTCTGGACGTGGTGGCTTTTCGTCTGTGTCCAGCAGCGCGGCCGTACGCCGCAGCCTGGGTCCAGCAGCCGCGTCAGGATGTTGCCCCTCTCCATCAAGGACGATGAGTACAAGCCGCCCAAGCTCAACCTGCTCAGGAAGGTGTCGGGCTGGTTCAGGTAAGAGGCCCAGTCTGGGCTGGGCTCAGCGGGGACCGTGACAGCGGCCGAGCCCTCGCGGAGGGGCTGGGGAGGCTGATGCGGAAGACGCCTGGTCCTCGCTGTGCCGGCGGTGGGTGACCCACTGTGTGCTCCGTGCGCAGGTCCATCCTGAAGGACAAGACCTCCCGCAACCTGTTCTTCTTCCTCTGCCTCAACCTCTCCTTCGCCTTCGTGGAGCTGCTCTACGGCATCTGGAGTAACAGGTACCAGGGAGGAGCGGGGCGGGAGCGGCTCCCAGCGCGCAGGAAGCGGCGCCTCCCGCCGCGGACACTGCCACGTCTCCTTGTCGGCGGGACCGGGCCCTGGCCGTGAGGCCGGGCCCTAGGGCTGCCGGAGAGCTTCCCCCGGTCCCTCAGCCGAAGCCCGCCTTGGGCAGGAGTCTGGAGCCGATGTCTCGCCGGCTCGGCTCTGGGCTGAGGGGGAAGCTTGCCCTTGCGCGTGAGTTACAGGAGCCAAGACTGGTTGTAACCGTTCCGGGCCTCCTGCTTGCCACCGATATCCTTTGTCTGGGAATGTGGCTTCATGTGGTGGCTGGTAGCTGGGTGTCAACAAACAGCACTGCAGCAAACATCCCTAAGTGAGAAGCAGGAATTCACAGAATCATAGAATGGTGTGGGATGGAAGAGACCTTCAAAGCTCATCTAATCTAAGCCCCTGCAAGGAGCAGGAACATCTTCAACTGGATCAGGTTGCCTAGAACCACAATCTGGCGTTGAATGTCTCCAAGAATGGGGCATCTGCCATCTCTGGGCAACCTGTGCCAGTGTTTCACCACCCTCTTTGCAAAGAATTTTTCCTCACATCCAGCCTGAATCTCCCCTCTTGATTTAAAACCATCACCCTTTGTCCTGTCACTACAGGCCCTGCTGAAAAGTCTCTCTCCATCTTAATTAAATCTAAGAGTCTTAGTTCAGGCTGAGAACACTGGGGCTGTTGAGCCTGGAGAAGAGAAGCTGCGTGGAGACCTCAGAGCAGCTTCCAGTGTCTGAAAGGGGCTGTAAGGAAGCTGAAGAGGGACTCTTCGTCAGGGACTGTAGCAATAGGACAAGGGGTGATGAGTTCAAACTGAAACAGGGGAAGTTCAGGTTGGAGGTAAGGCAGAAGCTCTTCCCTGTGCGGGTGCTGAGGCGCTGGCACAGGGTGCCCAGAGAAGCTGTGGCTGCCCCATCCCTGGCAGTGTCAAGGCCAGGTTGGACACAGGGGCTTGGAGCAATTTGCTCTAATGTGAGGTGTCCCTGCCCGTGGCAGGGGTTGGAGCTGGATGAGCCTTAAGGTCCCTTCCAACCCAAACCAGTCTGGGATTCTGTAATTAAAAAAAAAGCCTCAGATCTTCCTGTCATTTGTGCAGTTGAGTCACTTAGAACTGTACCTATACCACAGAGCATGTTTATGCCATGTGGTGAATTGTGTTGCAGTCTGTACTGACCTCTGTTGGTAAATGCATGTTCCACTGGCTGCTTGGACCTGTTAGCTTAGTGCGCAAAAGCAGTACAGTTGTGTTGTCATTGCACCTATGGGAAGTCTTGCATTTGTAGGATCAGCAGTTGTGAGCACAGTGCCATTATAACTTGCTGTATGATTTCTGGTTCAGAGCTAATATGGGAGCTTGTTTCAATAACAGGCATCCAAGAAATTTTTGACCAATTGACCAATTTCCCCTGTGTGTGAGAGCTCTTCCAAAGTATCAAGTATGAAAATAGGTTCGAGAATATTGCTTTTGTAAATGCTTAGTTCCATCACTGGTGGCATTGGTAGTCTTCTGCAGAACGGTTTTAGTGTTACTGTACGTGTTAATATATATGTTGTGTATAATAGAAAAGCAGCATCTTTAAACACAGTTTGCTTTTGTAACTGGCTGCAAAATGCACTTATGTGGGGTCAGTACTTAAATGCAACTTGTGTGTATATTCTTTTCTAGCCAGTTTTGCTCATATGGTCAAACTATGAATTGAAATAGAAGAACAAATACCTGCCACTATGTTGGTGAGAGGTGCGGCTGTGGGTACATCTACTCCAGGGTCTGTGGTTATAAAAACCACCCTCTGCTGCCACCAGAATCATATGTTAGGAGGATTTTTTTGCCAAGCACTCTTCCAAAGTGCCTTCCCAAAGTTGACAAAAGCAGTTGTCACCATGTTTGTATTGGTCATCTAGTGTAGCTTTCTCCTCTGTGCTAGCAAAGCCTTGCCTGACAGTTAGACACACAGTGTGTTCTGCTAGTGTGTAAAAGATTAAATGCTGTTTTCTCATACTAAACATGTAATGTATAGAATGTAACTTTTCCCTGTTTGTTTTCTTTTTCTTTTTTTTTCTCCAGTTTAGGTCTAATATCAGATTCTTTTCATATGTTTTTTGACTGTACTGCTCTATTGGCTGGATTAGCAGCTTCAGTTATTTCAAAATGGAGGTCAAACGATGCTTTCTCCTATGGGTAAGAAACTTTAGGCTGTTGCCTTTATGTGCTTTAGTGAACTTCAGGCTGTTACCTTTATGTACTTCAGTAAATGCCTAGTAGAATGTTTTCACTCCAATGAACAAAACCTCTTTTCACACAACATTGTGAATTCACACAACGCGTTCAAAGTGTAGGTTTTTAAGGTGACTTACGTCAGCTGTTAAGTTAGTAACTCCCTCATGCTGTACCACCTTCATGGATATAGCTGCTCCACCTGATTCTGTTCCAAGGGCACTTGCTTCCATTGCACATTGCAGTTGTGCCCTATGAAACAATACTGGTGATACAATGTTATTAAATTGGTGATATGATTAATTAACAGCAAATGAGCTGTAACAGGGGTTGCTGCATTCCCTATAGCATTACTGACCTGAATGTCAGCATTTAGCTTCCACTGTGTTGCCTACACGGATTGTGTAGTCTGAAACTTAAAGCACTGTTTAATTAAGGTGGAAACTGCAGTGTGCCTAGAAATCAATTTAGGAAGAATTGATTGTACTGTGAACTAATTGCAGCGAAAGCAAGTTCTGTATTAATTACTGCTCTGCATTTAAACAGCTGGTGTTCCATTTATTAGAGAACAGCCACAATTTGTTAAGCCTGATGTTTGCTACACTGGGTTTACATGTTATTCTAACCTGACTGCTTTGTGTTGGAAAACTTTATTATCTGAAATAATTTCTACCTATAGCAGGGGCAAATTAATCTATGGCTGCTTGAAGAACTTTACATCAGCAGACTTCAGTTATATCTCACATGATTATCTTATTTTATGGCTTCCAGATATACATTTATACTATAATTTCCAGTAGAGAGCATCTTAAATGGGAAGATTTTGACATATTGACAGCTTTCTTTCATCTAGATCAGGTAATGGCTGATCTGGATCAGGTAATTTCTGTCATAATACAGTGTAGTGAATTTCTTACTGTATGTACTTACTGTAGTTAATTTACTGCATCTTCCATTTAGCAAATCCCTTTGTAATACAACTGAGAACTAGAAGATTGTGCTCCAAGTCTCATAAATTCCACTTCTAATTTTTAGCATTATAATGGAGGCATTAATATTTACTCTTGTGTTTTTTTTTTTTGTTTCTTGCAGGTATGTTCGAGCAGAAGTACTTGCTGGTTTTGTAAATGGTTTATTCCTCATCTTTACAGCGTTCTTCATTTTTTCTGAAGGTGTTGAGGTATGTTATGGAGTCCTTTGCATTATTAATGGTCACATTGCTATTTGTAGAACATATTTAATGGGGATAAAATCAGTGAAATTGAATTGAAAAAATTAAACTGTATTGGTTAAAAAATTCTGGGATTTGAACAGAGAATAAGACCATCTAAAATTGTTGGCTTGTGACACAGAAACCAGCTTTTTCAGTGTATCACTACTAGCTTCTTAAATAGTGTATTTTGACTGTGTGTAAAGTTTCTGTGAGATTTACCCTATCCTTTTTGAGGTCGTTAAGCATGTCATAGAAAGATCTTTATTTCTTATTGTTAATGGACAAATGAGGCCAATAAAGAAAGATAAATGCTAGTTATTCAGAGGAGAGCCATTAGTCATAAGCCACATCCTGTGAAGAAGTTGGTCTAATTTATCAAAGAAAAAGGATTATCTGCCATATCTTGATCTGATATAACTGGCAAGTAGTAATAGCTTTAACATTTATAAGGGCACTTGATATTTTTTTTACAAGGTGATTCAGGTAATAATTTCAAGATTTAAATGTAGACATCAAGCATGTCTGCACTGAAGTAAGGTAGGATTAAGACTAAAACTGATTCTGATCAGTTTATATTAAAGCCATTTACTCTTTAATGGGAGATGCACTCTAAGTTTGTTTAGACTTCTAGTTCAGAATACATTCTAGTGGTTTTCTTTTTACTAGAGAACTGGGAAAACTTCTCAGGAACATATCCTGTATGTAAATAAGCCTGTAAATATTTCAAAATCGGTACAAACTGGATTGAAATTGCTAAAAACATGAAAACTTCACTCCAAATCTAGAAACAGCAACAGCTGCTAGAAATAAAAAAAAAAATTGCTACTGGAAGGGTCTATGTTAACGTTGAAACGTTACTGTTTTCCTGCTGGTCTTAGCTCCCATGCTAAGTATTAGCTTTGCTTGTGATGGTGACTCCTTTTCTCTTGGTTGCTTTAAAATGTTACATCTACTGCAAGTTTCATTGTCTTGCTATTCCTTTCATATGTGGGGGCAGATGTTGAATGTTTCTCTCCCCCATCAATAGTAATTTACACTCTTCAACACTTAGCTTCAAGATGCAAATTGTGTTAGGCCTGTAATATAATGTCTCACTGAAGAAAAACTTCCAAAGAAAGTAGGGTAAGAAAAGAGTTAAAAAAAAAAAAAATCAATCTAGATTTTAGAAGTTTTAAGAAAATGCTGCAGTTTGTTCTCAGTCTTTATTTCATTCCTCTCATCCTCTCATCTTTCTTAGCAGAAAGGAAGAAGTGGCATTCTAGACTCTTGGAAGTTTTTTAATGACTCGATCGGTCCACATTGTACAACACTTGAATGTTTTCATATGGTGTTGAGTCACATGCTGCAGCACATTGAAATCTTGTGATAAAAGTTAGACTGTCAGAATATTCTGCTATACTTTCACCGCTTTCATAATAAACAACAGAAAGTAAGAATTGTCCACGTGCCTTCCCAAAATCTGAAAGTCCTGAGCGATTTCTAGGTTTTTCAGTGTCTTTTAAGGATGTAAAGAGATTGTAAAACTACATTTGCGTCTGGGTTTGTGGCTTTGGGTTTGTTAGCTTTGTTTTGGTGTTTATTTTTTTTTGTTTTGTTTTTTAGAGAGCACTTGAGCCTCCTGATGTGCATCATGAAAGACTTCTTCCTGTTTCTGTACTAGGATTCATTGTAAATCTTATAGGAATATTTGTTTTTCAACATGGAGGTCATGGGCATTCACATGGCTCTGGTATGATGTCTATAATTTTCAGTACTGTTTCCTTCTGTGGCACCCTGAGAACCCCAGGATTGAATTTTAATGTTTTAGTGGCAATCTTAGGCAAATAGATATGTGACTTGTTGCAGTATTGACTTGTATGTTTTATCACTAGCCTTGGTACGTCACTGCTTCTTTCTATGTTAATATCCATTAACTGGAAGACCTAGAACTCCAAATGTACTTTCTGGAACATGCACTCTTCTGTGCCTTACTGGGACAGATTTGCAGAGTGTCATTTGAACAAAATTAAGCTGGAGTTAAGCAGATTTTGACTGGAAAATTTACAAAGCAGTGTCTGAACCAGATCTTAAGTGTGGGCTGATTCAGCTTCAGATGCTTCTCAACTTAAATTCTGCACCTAAATTCAAAATACAGTATTTGCCTAAATATATATATATATATATTTGGTAAATAGGGTTTTTTGTTTCTGCAAAGCTAATTGGTATCTCTTTCAGCTTACCGCATAAACCAGTATAGACTGGTGGAAGAAAATGGGCTTTGGTCTTTAACCAGTGATTTAGCTTGATTTTATTATTTTTTAATGTCTGAGTGATAGCCAATTTCTGGTTTCTTAAAACAGCTATTTTTAATATGCTTCTATTATGTGTACGTCTACACAGTTGTACTAAAAGGATAGCACAACTTACCTCTGAAGTGGGAATGTATAAAAGCATTTGACTTCTCAAATCAGGTATATTTTTATGCAGTTGCCAAGCATAAATCTAGATATCAAACGGCTTGTGTTAATTTTCTGAACTTATTTAAAGCTGTACATTAAGATGACCTACAAGATGAGTAGGTTTTAAGTTGCTTAGAAACAAATGTAAGCATCTTTTGATCGAACAATTTAAATGTATGTTCTGATGGTACCATTTGTTTATAGGTCATGAACACAGCCATTCTCTATTTAATGGTGGTCTCAGCCATGGACACAGTCACGGAGGTCATGGTCACAGCCATGAACATAAACATGGTCATGGACACACTCATGATCATGGTCATGGACACTCTCATGGTCAGGATTACTGTCATGGTAAGTACTTAGTTCATGTCATAGGCCTTCTTGACTCAACTTATGTGTTGTGCTTAGTTTGGGATCTCAATATAAGATCTTGTGTAGTTGTAATCTGTTTTCAAGCTGGTTATGAAAAAGGGACTTGGTATCTTTTCTAAGCTTGAATCTTTTCTGTAACGGCAAACAATCTGTGAGGAGGCATCCATGCAGAATATGATCAGTAGTCTTCACTATGGGAGAAGAGACAGTGTGGTTACCACCTGTTTGAAACAATGCAAAAGAAAGCCTTGCTGTAATACAGCCATGTCAGTCCTTCCTGCCTAAGCCATAAACTAGGATCGGATGTGACTCCAAATGGGCACATTCAGAGCAGGGAATAGTGTGGTAACTTGCAGACAGGAGGTGACAGAGTATAAAAATATTTACTTGTCCTTTCTCTGCTATTCTTAGTAGAAAATTGGTGCTTGCTTTCCAAGTGTTCTTCCAGAGTTTGGCTGGGAAGCAGGAGCTCCTTCCTCCTGCCTGTTCCTTGCTCTCCCCATGTTCTCCACCCAAGTGGGACAGCAAAGGTAGTTTTGTGCAATTTCAAACTCAGAAACTTTCACATAAATTACAGTGTATTTTCACTAGAAGTCTTCCTTAAAATATGTTTCTGACATAGAATCCCAGATTGGTTTGGGTTGAAAAGGACCTTATGATCATCCAGTTTGAACCCCATGCTGTGGGCAGAGATGCTTCACACTGGACCATGTTGCTCAAGGCTCTGTCCAACCTGGCCTTGAACACTGCCAGGGATGGATATATGTTCCACAGAGGCATTAATTTGCTTGATTGAAAGGATTTTTTTTTTTTTTTACTTAGTTCTACCTTTTCCAAGTTTTATCCTTCTTGGTTTACATTAGGCATAAATGCTTCCTTAAGTGAAATATTTCTGGTGAGCAAATTTATTTGACCTTGCTCTTTCTTGTGTGTATGGCTTGTATTCTTGAGGGGATCTTACATTGCTAAATACTGGAAAGGACTTATTTCTCAGTTTTTTTTCATTAAAAAACATGTTGATCTTTATGCATACATAAAATCTATTATATAAAGTGATAATTCTTTTAATAATGTGTTTTAAGACTTTAAAACAAATAGCTGAAGTAAAAGCTGGTAATTGTGAGCAGCTTGTCTGATCCAGACATTTCAGAAGGGAAAACCATAACAGAATATGCATACCATTAGAGAGAGTCCTCGTGTAGCATGTTAACCTATCAATGATTAATCTTCACAGGTGACAATTCCCTTGAAGGGATGGCTGGATCTAGCAAACAGATTTTACAAGGTATGCTGAAAAAAAGTATAGTGGTTTTATTAGTTTTATCCTCGTCTGCCTGCCTCTTACTGACTGTCACATCTGGTTTAGAGGGTACCTCTGAGAAAATGCTGTTTTTCTTAGAGGAGCTATTTTTTGAAGTCCCCTTCTACATTCACTGTAGTTGAAACATCAGTTTAAAAGAGGGGTCTCAAAAGCTGGTATTCAGCTTCTGTTACTGATGCTGAAAACATCAAATAATAAAACTCTAGGAAAGAGTGGTTAATGCAGAAACTGAAGGAGCCTAATTGCATTGTGTGCTCTGGCAAGTGAAGACCAGTATTAAGATAGAATGTATTTGGAAAATGCATGTTGGTATAATTGTTAAAGGGTGCCTGAGCTTACAACTTGTATTTCATCAAGCTGTTACGGTTGTTTGGACAAGATGGTAATTCAGTCTGAATTGCTTGAGGCACTATTGGAGTCTGTGATCTCCTGAGCATTAGTGTAAATAAATTACTGATAATTTAAATGTCAGGTTTGAACTTTGATTAATTTAAGTGCTCAAAATTGGGGGAGGAAACAGAGTCATTCAGTAGGTAGTAATTATTTGGCATACCCAAGTGTACAACAATATCCTTCTGTCTGTTGGGACCAGCTCTCATGGCCATGTGCCCTCCCAGCATCTTGCCCATACCAGACTACTTGCTGTGTATTCCAAAAGCTGTTTCTGAATGACTGTTCCCATCGTTGCCAGCAGAGAGCTCCAGAGGCTAAATTTTGGTTATCTGCAAAGTCCTTGTTTCTTTGTCTTCTAAGGTAGTGTGCTATTCTGCAAAGTAAATTGTTCATGTCTGCAGTGTTGGTTAGTTCTCAAAGTCCTTTGTCTTGGATTTCTTTGCCAATTAACTCCTATAAGATGCTGTCAATGAAACATAAGCATCTTTCAAAGCTTTACAGAGCTCTTTCTGTTAACAGTCTTTCCATCTTATACAGTACTTCTTGTATGTAGGCATCAGGGAATATGAGTTTCATTACTGCAATATGGGTGAGTATTGAAATACCTACTATTGCTAAGTACAGAAAATAATGTCAATTCTTCATATGCTCTGTGTTCTATGAGTACGTTGAAATCCCGTGGTCGTTTTCTGTGTGCTTAACCAAAAATTGACCATGAGCATAAATTGCTACCTAGATCTTGTAACTCTTCTCTGTAACCTGGCTTTAAAAGGCTCTATTAGCTTTAAGAATACCAAGTTGTAATCATGTCAATTAATCTCTTACAGGTGTATTTCTGCACATTGTTGCAGACACGCTGGGAAGTATTGGTGTGATCATATCTGCTATACTGATGCAGAACTATGGTCTAATGATAGCAGATCCTATTTGTTCAATGCTGATAGCACTACTTATAGGTGTAAGGTAAGTGTTGATATCACTGATAGCTGGCAGTGTCTTTGATGTAAGTTACAGCACAAATTACAGCTTGGAAGAAAAGGTTTGTCTTTTATACTAATGACTTGCAATGTTTGCTTTTCTTCCAACTTACCTCTGTTCTGTACAGCTTTCTTGCTATGTTCTTACAGGAATTGTCTGTCTTTCCCTTTTCTACAGCTACAGCTTTTGCTCTTAAATCTGCATCTTTTAGTCCTGTTTGCATGATTATACAAAAATGTCTTTCAGGTTCAAGCTGTAGAAAGCTTCCTTTCTGTATCTAGTACATGCTTACATAAACCAGTGTGCTTCAGTAAATGGAGCAGAATGGCTTCAGGGCAGCAGAGCTGAGCCTGCTGGCACAGGATGTGCACTTGTCCTTGACAAATCAAATCTGCTACTTTTTGTGGTTTTTTTCCCTGGCGAGAGCTGCCTTTTTCCTTTTGGATTTGTACTCTGAGACGTCCTTATTCCTTTGCAGATCTGGTGGAAATGCTTCAGGTAGTTCTGGCCTTTCCCTGTTGTTGCTTACCAAGCTTACTGTCCATGTGAAGCTGTTTGGATCAGACTGGACAAGCAAACATTTCATTCAGTACTGCTGTTACTGGGGCTTTTCTGGCAAAGGTTTCACTGGTGACATAGGGCAGAGTGCCACAACTCCAGTTATAACCTCATAACTGAGCACCTCTGTCTCTGTAGTGGTGAATGTAATCTGACTAACTGCAGCTACTTATGCTTATACCACACATATCATGTTTATGTTTATACCATGTGCATGGCAGCATTCACAAAACTATTGATGTGAATCTGACAAATTAGCAGAGTAGGGCACTAAATGCCCACAGAAGTCTGCGTTAGAGATCACTGTTGAATTGCCACTTTAATAGGAACTTGATATTTTTACCTAAACCTCCTGTAATTTCATAAAGGACAAATTATTACAAACTAATTCTATTACTGAAATATCAAAAAATGGGAGATAAATGTGCAGGCTACTAATGCTAACTATTGCCAAGTTAATAGCTGAGTGAAGAACTAGTTTCCATATACTTTGCATTTAAAGGTCTAGCTTTGTATACAGCAAAGCACATATGTAGTGCTGATCAGAAAGTATTTTTCTTCCATGCATACAGAGGTTGAAGAAGACTATGTTCCATGATAGAGATTTCATAATAAAGCTGTTTATAGGTATGTCTTCTATCACAGTTAGGAGTGTCAAGGTTCACGCTCTGTGCTGCGGGTGCAGCATATTTCAACCTGAGCCCAGATCTCAGCCTGTATCATTTTGTTGGTCCATGGTGCTATAATGATCTCTAGAACCATTATGCTGAGTGCAGTCATCTGCATCACGGTCAGTAGATGCAAGCCTGCATGTCTTGCAGACTGACACATCCCAGCACAGCAGGAGCAAGCAGTAATTGAAAGTTTGAGTTGGGTTTGGTTTGTTTTGGTTGGTTGGGTTTTTATTTCTTAAGTAGTCCAAAAGACTTAACTACTGATGGCTTTGCTTGAAATACACTTAAACAAGATCATAAACAAGATGACTAGCAGTTTCAGATGGATATTCCTTGAGAGCTCGAGTCCCCTTTTGTGTTGTTTGACTTTGGTAATCCTGTATGCTTCTGGACATAAAACCATTGTTTATTCTGCCTTCACCATCCATGGTGATAAGATGGTTCATAGAGGAAGAAAAACAGTCCTCATATTGCTGTTCAGATATAGACAGGCAAAGGCATGAAGTCAGATACTCTCCACTTTACAAATTCCATTATGCTTTCCCTTGTTGTAGAAAGTTGCGTTTTCTCTATTTATGTATTTATCTGTTGAGTCTTGAGAAGCAGAGGGCTTGTCAGTTTGTGGATTCTCAATGGGAAGACTATATCCTGCAATCTTTTCCAGTTTCTGCATCATAAATCTTTGGCCCTTTCTGAAGGGTTGGTTTGGGTGAGGGGTTGTAGCTGTTGTGTTCTTGGTTGCTACCACTAATATCTGATGAATCCTCCTTTGATTACTTTCTGCACGATCTCATGCAAGTGTCCATTAAATTGTAATGCAGAAATAGGACATGGTTAGAGTAGAGGAGTCTGTTTTATGAGCATTTTATTGGAAGTATTTATAATTTCTTTTACAGAAGCTTGGCTATTTCATAGGTGTTCAGGTTAACACTCTTCAAGTTTTTCCCAAGGTGTTTTTAAGACTCTAAATTGCTTTTAAAATTCAAAACTAAATGTTCATTTATTTTTTTAACATTAGAATTCGAAGCCTTGTTCTGAAATGTTGAAGCAATTTTAGTGTCTCGGTGTGAAATAGTCATCACCAAAAGCCACAACTCCAACAAAGCAAGAAGTTTGAAACCATTGTTAGTCCCACATGCTTCTAGAAAGGCACTGTAGACTAAATATGATACTGGATTGGACAGAGTATGCATACCACATAGTAATGGGTTGAACAAATGAGGCAATTTAGTCATTTAAGTGAAATTGTTTCCGTGGCTTACATCATCTAGAGCTGCTTGAACATGGTATCTCCTGAAAGAGCTTTGAGGGAACACATGTGTGTAATGTGTAGGATATATGCCTTTAATGTGCGGGGCATAACAGTATAAAAAGTTGCTTTTTTTCAGTGAAGTGCTGCATTTGGTTAGATTCAGAAGGAATTTTCTTAGCAAAAGCCCCCTGAACAAGCATGCTTGATGGTGGTGTTTTAAGCCATCATTGCTAAATGGCCTGCACTGCCTGTGTTTACAGGCTCATGGTACCTGCTGGCCTTACTTGGGAATCAAAGCACTGCATTGTGATGAGAACAGCCAATTTAGAATTGGGAAACTAAGCATTAAACCTGTGATCCTTGTCTTGACCAAAGCCTGCAGTCTGATTAAAGCTATCACTGCCTGGTAGAAAACTGTTACTAAAGTTCTGAAACAGGTGACAGTCTTGGCACTGCCCATGTGGGTGGTGGCTGGAGGAAAAAGAAAAGATCTTGAAAACTGGCTGCAGTTTTTCAGCTATGGGATTTGAAGAGCCATAGCTGATCTTGAGTCTTAGATTTTGTGGAAGGCAAAGGCTTCTGTCACAAGTATTTTCTATCTTGCTGAAAGCACTAAATGCATTTCCTGCTGTGCTCTGACTGCAGTAGCTGTGTAAAGGGTTTTCAGCCTTGCTGTCCAAGATTGTGGCGATGCCAGTCATGCTGGCTGCACCTGCCAAACAGTGGGACTGGAATGGGTATGAGCATTACCTGAATGTGATGTACATTGATGAGGAATCTGATGCTTTCACTCTTGATTGCTACTCAAACTGTGTGTTGTAGCAGCAAGCTGAACTTATCAATAGCTTTTATCTGCTTGAACACCTTTGGCTCCCCCTGCAACAGTGCAAGTGTGATGTGCTGCCAACTCAATTTACACGCATTAGCTACTTTTGCTATTAGGACTTTTGTAGAGGATCTGTTTATGTCCCAAGTCTTGCTGTGGGTTAGTGCCTCTTTTACATTCCAAAGCTGTGTGGAGACCTCGGAGCAACTTCCAGTGTCTGAAGAGGGCTACAGAGATGCTGGAGAGGGACTCTTCATCAAGGACTCTAGTGATAGGACAAGGGGTGATGGGTTCAAACTGAAACAGGGGAAGTTCAGATCTAAGGCAGAAGCTCTTCCCTATGAGGGTGCTGAGGCGCTGGCACAGGGTGCCTAGAGAAGCTGTGGCTGCCCCATCCCTGGCAGTGTTCAAAGCCAGGTTGGACACAGGGGCTTGGAGCAACCGGCTCTAGTGTGAGGTGTCCCTGCCTGTGGCAGGGGTTGGAGCTGGATGAGCTTTAAGGTCCCTTCCAACCCAAACCAGTCCGGGATTGAGTGTGATATTTTAGATTCAAGGCTTGGTAATCAGAGACCACTGAAAGATTGTGTCTGCTTTAGGACCGAAGCTTCCAGACTGCTGCTGTATGACAAAACTCTGCTGGGTGCGAATTCAGCAGCATTTGTTTGTTCTCAGTAATATTTTTGTAAATAAAAAGCAAAAGGGAGGGGAAGTATCAGTGCAGTAGCTGCTGCAGAGACAGCCATGTGTGTCTTGCACTAATGACTAATCCAAAAAAAGGAAAGCTTGGTTAGATTCTGTAACCACACTTTTCAGCCTGCTTGCTCATCTTTCCTAGTGTTTTCTTCAGTCACATGAGATGGAACTAGTATTTCTAGTGCCTCCTGGTGATTAAATAATACTGGGTTTTTGTTAGTGTCTGAGAAACAATTGCTTGAAAGAGTCCAGTGCAGAGCTACAAAGATGATTAAGGGAATGGAACATCTCTCTTATGAGGAGAGGCTGAGGGAGCTGGGACTCTTTAGCTTGGAGGAGAGGAGACTGAGGGGTGACCTCATCGATGTTTACAAATATGTAAAGGGTGAGTGTCAGGATGATGGAGCTAGGTTTTTTTCAGTGATGTCCAGTGACAGGACAAGGGGCAATGGGTGTAAACTGGAGCATAGGAGGTTCCATGTGAACATCAGGAAAAATTTCTTTACTGCGAGAGTGACAGAGCACTGGAACAGGTTGCCCAGGGGGGTTGTGGAGTCTCCTACGTTGGAGATATTCAAGGCCCGCCTGGACAAGTTCCTGTGTGATATACTCTAGGTTACCCTGCTCTTGCAGGAGAGTTGGTGTCCTGGGTTCAGCAGTAGCAGTCATGTTTCTCCTCCTTGGTAGCTGGTGCAGTGCAGTGTTTTGACTTTCAGCTCGGGAACAGAGCTGATAACAATGATGTTTTGGTTTGGCCAAGGACTTTGTGAGCCTCATGCTCTGCCAGGGAGGAGGGGAAGCTGGGAGGAAGCAGAGACAGGACACCTGACCCAAACTGATCAAAGAGGTATTCCATACCACAGCACGTCATGCCCAGGATGTAACTGGGAGTTAGCCGGAAGGGCTGGGAGACTGCAGGGTTGGAGGAGGTATCGGTCGGAGCTTGGTCGGGCTTGGGGGCCGAGTTATCGGTCAGCTGGTGGTGAGGTGTTGTATTCTCTTCCCTTGTTATTTCCTTTATCATTATTATCATTGGTGGTAGCAGTAGTGATTTGTGTTATACCTTAGTTACTAAACTGTTCTTATCTCAACCCGTGGGAGTTGCATTCTTTTGATTCTCCTCTCCGTCCCTCCGAGAGCAGGGGGAGGGCAAGAAAGGGGGGGAAGTGAGCGAACGAATTGCCTGACTGGGTTTAAACCACGACAGTTGGACTAGATGATCTTTTGAGGTCCCTTCCAACCCTTAGGATCCTGTGGAAAGGGCATACTGTATGGAGTTTTGTGTTTTAATTAAAAGGTTTTGTACGTCAGTATTATATATGGAGCAGTGGAAAACCTGAAAGAGCAGAAAACTGGATTCTGTATTTTGTCGTGTTAGTTGGTCTTACAGTAAAAGGTAAGACACCTAGTAAGATAGCATCCCTTTGGATGCAGAGATGCGTGCATGGACTTCTGCTCTAACATAGTTGTGAGGACAGATCCCATCACTGCAACCGGATTTTGGGCCTTTCCAGCTTTCCAAAAGAGAAGCTTGTAGGTAAACACTGTCTGAGAGGTGGGAGGTGTGATCTGAGGGATGCTTCAGCTTTCACCTGCAGTATCAAGCTGCACATCCCGATTTACCTTTACTCTTTGTACTTTTAAGCTGTTGCTGTTTCACACCATGGCTTTAGTGCTTTTGTGAGGTCTGGATAAAAGCGTAACTTGTGCAGCATTATTGCAAAACACTTGCACAGAAGATTTCTCTCTCAAAGCTTTAGTGTGTAGCTGAATTCCATGAATAGGGGAAATCTTGCCATCAGGAAGACCATGTTTTAAGCTGTATCACCTGTATGAGGAGTGGAGTGTTTGCCCACTCACATTTTGTATATTAGTTAATTCTGAGCTAATCATAGAATCAACCAGGTTGGAAAAACCCTTTAAGCTCATCCAGTTCAACTGTTTCCCAGCACTGCTGAGGCCGCCACTAACCCATGTCACTGAGGCCTCATCTCCATGCTGTGTGAACACTTGCAGGGACAGTGACTCCAGCCCTGCCCTGGGCAGCCTGTTCCAATGCCTGAGCACCCTGTGGGGAAGGAATTGTTCCTCAGCTCCATCTAAACCTGCCCTGGTGCAGCTTGAGACCGTTTCCTCTTGTCCCATCCCTTGTTCCTTGGGAGCCGAGTGCAGCCCCCTCCTGGCTCCATCCTCCTGTCAGGCAGTTGTAGGGAGCGATCGGGTCCCCCCTGAGTCTTCTCTTCACCAGGTTAAACCCTGCCCAGTTACTTCATGCTCAATGGTGCTGCTGGGCAAGGGGAGACAGTCTTTGATGCTTATGCACACCTTGCTAATAGACTTAACCTTGGAAGATCAGTTTTTTAGGCACAGGGTTCTCAGAATGAAGCAGATGCTAATTTTCAAAGCTTGTTCAGTGGAAAAGCTTCTAACAGGGTTTTCACTTTCTCTCTCCAGTGTGCATCTTGTTCCAGAGTGAATCTTGGTTTCACTGACCAAATCCTTTTTTGGAGTGGGTTAACATGCCCTACCTATCAGTCTTACTTTTCTGCAGGCTGTCTCTCCAAATCTCCTACTTGCCAGTTCATTTCGGTTCTGTCAGATAATGTACATCAGATAGATAAAATAATGTAAATAAGTTGTGCAAATCAGATGTTTCTTGGTTGTGTTGCTTTCATGTTTTTCTTCCCACCCACTCTTAGTGGTATCTCCCAATAGAAATGCAAGCTTCTGTGGTCTTCATTCCTTTAGTCCTTTCCCTGGAAAAAATATGCAGGCTGTACGTGTATGTGTTTTGAAGCCTTTGGAAGCCTCACCCATATGTTAAAGGGGCCTTGTTAAATTTATGGGAGTGGAGTCTGTTTTCAAAAATCTTGTATTCCATTTGCATCCTGAACTTGTGTATTGCTCTGTCAAGGTTATTACAAAGAAGCAAACCTGCATTTTTAAATAGTGAGTTAATCGGAAATCAATTCAGCAAGAGAGTATTTTGGCAGCCCCAGCTCCTTTGATGTAATGCTTGTGACATGGACATTATTTAGTGAGATGGGTCCATTGATAAGAACCTTTTTCCGTAAACTGTTGTAATCCACTGTCTGTAGAATGTGACACTCCAATTAGGCTTCCTTTAGACGGTTGGGCAGTTACTGCCTTGCTGAATGTTTAATTGTCTGTGTGACAGGTCCAGTTTAGGCAACTCCTGCCTGCTTCTAATTGCTTCTTCCTACGTCTGAACCAATTCCCCCCAGTAGCGGCGGAACTGTGTGAGGCCATATGAAGTGCATCAGGCAGTGAATTTGGCTGGAATAACCACTGTGCCTGCAAGGAGACAAAAATTTAGGGTGTCTGTTTTTCCAGGGGTTCATTAGACAAGAGTCATGCACTCTCTAACCTCCTCCCAGCCCTGCCTAAGGGTTAGCTGAGGAGGTCGACTGCTCAGCTCACAGCCAGCACTACTTCCACATACAAATGGAACCAGATCTTCAGAAATGGAAAAGAATGGTTGGGACATGCTGTTCACCATCTGCAGATATACACCTGGGGTGTGCAGTGTGTTCTGCATCACTTCATGAGGTTTCAAGCAATGCGTTGGTGGTTTCCTTTAACGGACACCCCAGTTCATCTCTTGGACATGTTTTCTGGATGTTTGTTATCCCGTTACTCCATCTATTCCAGCTGTGATGCCAGTGCTGAACACTGAAATTCAGCTTATAGCTTCTGAAATACATTATCACTTGTGGTCTAGAGTGGTGGGTTGACTTAACATGCTCTCGAAATGAGATTGCTGTTGAGGTGTTAGTATTGGGCTGTAGATATTTTTCATACTCTTGAAAATGTTAGGATGCTCTGTTGAGCCAGACAGGATATGCTGCTCCTAAACAACAGTTCGCCATTCTGCATCTGTAATATGAGTATGAATACCTAGTGGTAGCTTCAGCAAATGGGCTAACTGGCCAACTGCTTCTATTAAAAAAAATAAAGGGAAGTACTGGTAATGAAAAGGGCACTAACTGTTCTCTTGGTTTGCTGATTAAACAAGACCATTTGGCCAGGAGGGAACGTCTAATTGCTTCCAGATGTTTACTCCTTGAGTTTGGCTGAGCCCCTTTGCTAAGTTCACTTCAAGAATATGCTAAGTTGTCTGTTTCTAACAGAATAACTTTGTTAGACCTGGACTGGTCCATATTAATTTTGTTTTATGATCTCCCCATTATTATCAGAGTTCATAAGAAAAATATGCCTGAAGCCAAGCACAAAAGCAAACCCCATTTCAGTTGCCTATTTTATGGTTGGTTGTGAGTGATTGCCATTGAAGTAGGTCTGGGTTTTGAGCTGTGCTTATCAGCTGCTTTGTCATATAACTTTGAAGAGACTAAAAAAGCTCATCTCAAATACCAGGATTCAACTATTAATCTTTCGTGAGTATCCACCAGTTGTCTCTGTGGCAAATCTGGGGGAGAAGTAACCTTGTCTTTAGTGAGACACCACAGCAATTCTGTGTCAGTCCTTTTCTGTACCAGGTTTTCAGGACAACTTTCTTAGCTTCTGGTGAAACAGCTGCAGAAAAATGCTTCAAGAGCATTAAGAAATGTTATGTTGCTCTGCATCTTTAGACAATGTAATAGCATTGTAACTTGCTTTTTTCTTTCCAGTATTGTTCCACTTCTAAAAGAATCCATTGGAATTCTGATGCAGCGAACTCCTCCTTCCCTGGAAAACACTCTGCCTCACTGCTATCAGAGGGTGAGCTCTTAGCCGGTTTTCGCTTCAGATCAAGCTGCTGACTGAATAAGCCACAACTGTGTGTATAAGGATATTTTGTGATGCTTTCCCAGTACTGCCTGTGAAAGGTTCCTTAGATTGTACAAATGGAGGTACCAGTTTGATTCTGATCTTTCTGCTGTCCTAAATTGTCTGTAGTTTCAGCTTGGTGTGTGTTTTAAAATGTGCTAGGGTGGGTTAGAAAAACAGGGCCTGAAGCTTTTCCTCTCAAAGTACTGTGTGTTGATACAAAGTGGATAATGTTTTTCTGGTTTGTTAGTTTTTTGTCTCCCTCAAAGTCTAGTAGTAAGTAACATTGGAAGTGTATTACTCTAGATTTGGCGCCTCCTGGTACTACTCTGTAACTTATCTACTACTGTGTTATGACTGAACATTGAAGCGCCTTTACAAAGTGAATACAAAGCACTTGTAGGAGTGCCAAGTATAGGACTGTAATTTGTGGAAAGTTTGCTAAAGGTGGACAGAGGCAAAAGAAAGGGTTTGGACAGGACAAACATAACCCCTGTCACAAGACATGTTAATAGATTTCTGTTAATGGTTTGAATCTCTCCATTTTTTTTTAATGGGGACATTCCTGCATTTGCAAAAACTGCTGTTTTAATGGAATGCTCTCTCAAATTCCATAACTGTGACTTTTCTGTTGGACCTCACTGTTTTCAGAAGTGGTTTTAGTAAAATATGTGTAGAATATCAATGCAGCAACATACCAAATCATGACATGTACCTACTATCTGCATGTGTTCTTCTTCATTACAATTGCTGAAATAGTAATAAGGAATTGAAGTATCACAAACTGCACAGTGAACCAGAAGTAAAAGAAATATCATTTATAATATTTTCTGTAAAAAAACATAGACATTTTCTGAAGTATGTATTTTAAAATGTGCCTGTATTTTTAGGTGCAGCAGCTGCAAGGAGTTTACAGTTTACATGAGCCCCATTTCTGGACCCTCTGTACTGATGTTTACATAGGGACTTTGAAATTACTAGTAGCTCCTGATGCTGATGGAAGGTGGATTCTAAGCCAGACTCACAACATTTTTACTCAGGTATGTCTTGTGAGCAGAAACCACATCTCAAAGTGTAAAGCGCCTGTCACTTGATGTGACATTGTAGTTCTTAACAAGAAAAACTGAACATTTCTGGTTTTGATGGTGGTATGTTTTGAAGAGCTGCTCTGCTCTAGCTGTATAGAACAATTTCATAATAGTAGTGTAAATGAAACTGCTGTACCTCTGTATTGCTTTTTGATGCTGCTTAATGTAAGTAACAGCTGTAGTTGTCTGAGATGTATCAGATTAAGTTGAAACCCTATATTGAAACCCAAGAAAATAGATGAGGCTTCCCTCAAGACAGGGCTTCCGACCACAGGCTGGGACCTGTGTAAGTTTTTCACTCTGCTGATGCTATCATTCATTTCTATTTCCCTAAGAATGTATTTGTCATTCATGCCTCTCCCTCCCAAGAATGCATGGTCCATAATGTCCTTTCTCTGCTTTTGAGTGACAGATTTCTATAGCTGAAAAGGAGACAAATAATCCTATTTATAACCAGTGTTTTAGGTTACAAAACATTGTCAGCTAAAGGGTAATATTTTGGAGATAATGCAAATTACTGTCAGCTTAATTAAAAATCCCAGGCTGGATTTTGTGATTTTTAAATGCATTTTGGCTACTCAGTTTCTGGTCTTTCAGGAGAAGCATCACTGAAACCACCCCTCCAATGTGCTGCATCAGTGCATGAATTCTCCTTACAGGAATTTGAAGTAGTCATTCATGGGGAACCCAGTAAATATAAACACACATACCTGGGTTTATGTTAGAGACTTAGGGAAGTATGAGTTCTTCTTGTTAAAAATGTTCTAAAATCAAATTTTAGTCCTAAAGTCTGGTCCTTTTTGAGATGTTCCATCACATGCAGCTCTAGATTATTGAGTGGGTAGAAATCATCCTGCATGGCTTATTCTGAAGACTGAATAGTTTGAAACTAAGGGTTATGTTTTGGCAAGATGTTTGCAGAACATTCTACTGCATTAAAATGAATTTTACATCCTAAGGATTGCATTTCCCAAGTGGGTCATTAGCTCTTCAGCTGCTCTGTAGCTGTGCAGGTATTCAGAGCCATGTGTCCCGGAAGTGAATTGGGAGAACAAGGTCTTACCATTTTTCTTATGTGACCTATGGTAATAAATGGAGGAGCAGTTGGAGCAAGTAGATATTTTTCTCCTCAGTAATAAATATTGTCCCTTATTAATCTTAGCTGCTTTGCCACTCGACTGAGATAAACCCAAGTTGGTGTTAGTTGAAGCATTAGTCTGATCTTCAGCAGTGTTCAGCCTAATCCTTCAAGATCACAGTGCATAACGAGTGACCATCACAGTCATTTTCTTTTAATGCTGCTTTATACTGAATTACAAAACCAAGCAAGTCCACCTAAGCCCAGTTTAACAAGGTTTCTGAGACAAATGCTTTTGTACAGTTCATGTACTTTTACCGAAAGTCATGCCATGCTGTCATGTAAAGTCACTGTAGACATCATAGTTTCTTGCTGAAATCTTAGTGTAGAGCTGGTTCAAACAACAAATCCCATGTTACACTCTTGCGCTTGGCTCCATTTTACCCTGACAGTTCTCCAAGCAACTTGCTTTCCTGGAGTTAAACTTGGACAAAGGAAAGAATTTCTTTTGTGCAGCTTCATGTGTGGTAGTTATTCAGGATGAAGCAGAAAAGGTGATGTATCAAAGCTGTAGTTATTATATAATTAATATATAGTTAATATGTAATGCTAATGTATAATTAGTCAAGTGTGTTCACTCAACTAGGTGAAGAACTAGGTATTCATACAGTACTGTCAGAGTTTGGGGTTTCCAAATTGCCAGCATCTCAGTGAATGGTGAGCTGGATGTGGAAGATTAATAAGAAGATGAAAAATAAGATCCTGAGGTTCTTTACTAGGTAACTTACTGGTGTGGACTGTGTTCAGGATAGCTAAATTGCTTTGGCTTTACAAGTTCGGGGTTTTTAACTCTTCTCTTTTCCATAGGCAGGAGTAAGACAGCTTTACATACAGATTGATGTTGCAGCCATGTAGTGAATTCCTGAACTTGTGCTGTTGGACCAAAGTTTTCTGTACTGTACTGGTAGAACAACACACTTCTCGAGACAGAGCCTGCCTCCACCATTGCTCTGGAATGGACTGAATGCATTTCTGCCCTTGGGCTATGGATGGACTTCACCTCTAGGGAGTAAATATTGAATGAATGTTACGGACTTTGGGTCTTGATTTATTTTGTGGCCCCTAAACTTGTAAGGTTTTGAGGGTTTTTTTACTTCCTAAGATTACGGTACTGGAAACCCTGTCATGTCTTCAGTGAAGCTGCTGAAACCATTGCTCATTCCCATAAAACCAGTGTTCTCAACCATTGGAAACTCGTTTTGTAGATGATGTCACAGTGGCTGACATGCTTCAATATAATCGTATGTTTGTACAATTGTTTGTACTTTGCAAACTTAATGAACCAAACCATATTGGGTTTTCAAAGTGCCTTTTATATCAGGATAGGTATTTGCCAGCATAAATCAGGAGCATCAAAGGGTTTTATTACTTTTACAAATATCTTGTATGCAGTCTGATTATTTACTAGTGACATATGTGGGGGTTTGTGTACTCGCATAACTTTAGATGTTAGACTTCCCTTGCACTTGCATCTTACCAGGCAGCAGAATTCCAATGTAGAAGGCAAAGAGACTTGCTTCCAAAACAAGCTGGATATCTTACTGCACACCTTGTGGAAATGACTTTTGTCAAAATACTACATTTACTTCCAATTCTTGATCCCCTCATCTCATAATATCATGAGATATTACGTGATGCTACTCATGTTCATAGTCCCTGCAACAGGCAGCTTGGGGAAGATGCTGGTGATGGAAGCAATCCTTGAAGTGTTTTTTCTTCCAAATTACATGGTGGGAAAAATTGAAGCTTTCACTAAACCATTTAGGGATTTAATCTCCTTGATTTTTAATAGGTTGTAATGACTTTTATTAAAGTGATTGGTGAGAGAACTTTTGCCTTTCCAAATACTGAAAACAGTTGTTCCTGGTGGTTATAACTGCAATGGAAATATGGACCATGGTTCATGCCCTTTAAGATTAGGCTTTTCCCTGGTTGACAAGTCTGGTGTTTGTTACTGTCTCATTGCAGCCTTGTGTGTTTTCATGGAAAAAAGAAGTTCTCCATGCAGTACACTTTGCTCTGAGTGTTGTTACAAGACAATCTGCTATACTTGGTATTACCGGTGATAATTCCACTATGCTGTAGTAGTTAACTTAGCAATGGAAGACTCTAAGAGGATGTTTTATGCACAGAACATTGTGGAGTCAAAAACAAGATGGGCATTTTCCTGATAAATCATAGCCAGTACTGACTGGGATGGACTTCTGGTACTGGGATATTCTTCTGGTACCTGACACATGGCAACAGTGAAATCAAGGCCCTCTGAGGCTGACAGTGGCTGTGTAGGAAGTACCAGGCACTGTGAAAGTACCTGAGATTCACTGTGGAAATGGTGGAAAATGTGGAAATTTGCCACTGGTATTGCTGAATTCACCTCAGAGGTGAAGCTCCTTGCATTCCTTCTGTCATTTCTATAAAGCACTACATTTTTATCTTTAATGTGAAAACATGATGGTTGCCAAATTGATCGGTTGTTCCTGAATTTTCCAGGTGAGATATTGAAACCTGAATGTTGATTTTGTGCAAAGCTTGGGGATACATTATTGTGCTTGAATTGAAAACTGGGCATGAAGAAAAATAGGAGTAGAAAGCCACATACGTTGCTTTTAAGCTTTACAGCCTCTTCCAGTCTTCAGATCTTCTTTATCCCTGTTGCTGGTTCCTGATGCTGTCTGGTTCTGCTGGGGATGCCCACAGCACTGTTCCACATCTCTCCTGGCCTTCTGCTCGCACACGTCTGCCTCCCTGTCTGTCTGCCCTTGTAGATGCTCTGCCAGGCCTGGAGTTTCTGACTGGAGGATGGGATCAGACAGCTCCACAGCACAGGGTAGGGTGCCAGAATCTTCTGAGCAGATCTAGGTGCTGCAGTTTAAGATACCACTTGCATGTATGTTCACAGACAAGGTGATTAAAATCTGGTTCTGATGACAGGGCAGAGATCCCTTGTTGCTTTGTTGTATGTTGCTTTTTGCTGATTGACAGCATGATGTCATGATTATTTTGTTCTAGTTATTATTATTACTCTTTGAGGCTACAGAAGATCAACTGTTATCACTTTCAAGATGAACACCAGCCCACTTCATTGCAATTGTGTCGGTCCAAGAGCCAGGCTCTGGTTTAAATCACTCTTACACCAGTGTGTTTCAGGACTGAGTACTCCTGGAGTTGGTGAAACACTGTGGTGCTGCTGGAGCTGAGCACGGCCACTGACTTAGTTTTCCTAATGGAATGACAACAGTTACAGTTTGTTTCCAAGTGAGAATCTGCCTGAATGGCAACTGGGTTTCCTTGGTGGTGGTTCTCTTTTAGATGTGCATCTACAAACTCTTTACAAAGTGTCTGCGAAATGGAGTGAAAAAGCCTTTCAGCTGGTTATAATCGCCCAATATAGATTGGAGTGATTTTTGACATATTTTTGCTGCTTATTATGACTTGTCCATCTGCTAGCAACAGATAGGTCAGTTTTCTAACTGAGATAGCACTTTCTTCATTATTTTTGAGGACAAATTGATGTTTCATAGTAAGAAATGGATCGTTGGTTTGTTAAACATAATCAAAGCTGGTGTAGGGAAGTCAGATTCCAAGGAGACTTTAAGCCTTTTTAAACTTGCTGAAAACCAAGCATCACAAAACTCTCCGAACGACGGTAGATGACAAGTCCAGTAGGCAACAACCACCACATTTGGTATGTCAGTAAGCAGAGTGACAGCGGAGCTCTTCTTATTTATCTACTAAGGGGATACTCACTCGGGTTTTAGGAGAGGACAGATCATGCAATTCAAAGTGCAGCTTCTCCTGACTGTCAAAGCACTGTTATTTCCTGGTTTGCTAATTCCTAGTACTTGGCTGCTTGTAGAACATTCTGCTTTTAATGCTTGATGGGAAGACACATCATTTCAGCAAAGATTTGTGTGAAGGACTGACAGCCAGAGATGGGTCAGTGTCTGCAGATCATCTGCCAAAACTCAGCCTCGTGCTATGCAGCACTGAGTTTTGAACCAGGGTTTCAGAGCGTGCTTCTCTCATGTTCCCATGTAGCTGAAGCTTACTGTGGAGATCCTGATCTGTATCTGGGGGGAGGTAAGGGGTGAGTTCCGTGACTGAAAACAGTAACTAAAATATTGTCCCAAAGCTGAGCCTGCAAATTGCATGACCTTTGCAGGAACTGCAGCAAAGTCAGATAAGCGCTAGAGCGTGTCTGTACTAAAACACCCCAGATGTTTGTCATGGGAAATAACAGTGGAAGAAAGCTACTACTCTTAAGAGTGTGTATGGTGGAGCCTGGTCCTTTGTAGGCTCACCCTGTAAGTCTCTGCATGTGGATAAACTTGTTCCTCACATCAGTAGCCCCTACAGAGAGCTTCATTTCTGGTGTGATTTGCTGAGCCACGGCAAAAAGTGCTGGTCCAAATAACTGACTTTGCTCTTTATGTAATGTGCTTACTAAAGCGAGAGTTTAATTGCATCATTAGAGCTGCTGACACAGTATTTACATAAAAGTGGAAACTGCTGCTACTAATAAAATGGACCTTCGTGACTTAACATTCTTGATTTTTCTTCTGAAGAAGTGAAGCTGTGTTCCAAAGTGAAGGAAGGACTTTCTCTTTAAAGTGAACCTGGTTTGGGAATAAAAACAAGGTACAAGAGGGGAGGGAAGATGCTGCTGAGCTGCAGTTTTCCACTCATTCTGCCCCCTGCACGAGTGAACTGTGAAGTTCATGGCCTGTCTCTCACAGTGCAGGCTGCAGCTGCAGGAAGAACCTTCATACTTCCATAACATGCAAATCCCAATCACTGCTCATGTAATGATCTTTAAATACCAGTTCAGAGCAGCAGCTTCAGTTACTAATTGAGCCCTGTCCTGTTATCAGGCTGCTACTTGCTGGGATCCTTGATTACCCCACCCCTTGTAAGCGTGTTTGGGAATAAGCGTAAAGGGATTTTCTCTTTTTTTTTTTTTTTTTCAGTAATTCATTTCTCTGATCACTAATCCTGGCTCTGTGGTTAATTCCTCCTTTACTCTCCTATGAAAATCCCTATCAGCAACTTGCTGAGGTTCCCTTTTGGATTCCTCCCGTTTTGGCTTTGTTGCAGTGGCTATCCCTGTTGGGATGTCATTGGCCAGAGACTGCTCTGATGTGAAAAGACACCAGGTGGGCTTCTGCTGTGCCTGGCATGTGACGTCCCACTGTGTGCAAATCCTGGCTCATCTGCTTGTCTGTCTCAGCCACAAAAGGTTCCAGCCTTGTGGCAATTTGGTGGAAATCGTGTAAAAGGAGTGGTGGATTTTACTTGTGTGTGCTGAAGTCTTTCTTCCCTGTGTATCCTGGGATCTTGTGCCAGAGTTACATGAATTGCTGCAGTATTCTGGCTGAAGTGTGAAATACCGTGAATGAGGAAATGGCCAAAATCATTCCTGGTAGCATTTAGCAGAGCGCTTGCCTTTAAATGACAGGAATTACTCTTAGCATTAAATTGACTAGTACAGTATATCCAAACATCTGTAAAGAAACCTTAATGACAACACAAGGCAGCTCACTATAATTCTGAAGACTTATGTATGGTTTTCTCCTGGGATGCTCATGTTAGTAGCTTGGCCATGACTTGTCCCAAGTGCAGTACTAGCAATTTGTAATGTAATCTTTTGTACTTAAGTCAAGTCCAGGCAAAATGTTCAATATCCTACATTGCCGAAGAGCTCTGGGATCCAATTTCTTTCCAATAAACCTTCAGTTTAAAAAGAAAAGCACTTGTAGAGGTCTGCTTTGTTCTGTACATACTATGAAGAGCAGCTGAAAGGGAACCAACAGCAGGCTGATCTGAAAAAGAATTCTTGCAGTCTGTTTTCTGACCCTGAGTCCAGAACTCCATAAATGGTACCATGAACACAGCAACAAATTCACTTCTAAGTTGCAGCTTTCTCAAATAAGAAATTCTGTGCGGCTTCTCCCTGTTTCACCAACATCCAATGGGTGAGTTCTGCTTTTTCTTGGTTTAGACATGAAGAACATTCTCACCTGTCTCTAGTCACTATCCCAAGTGTAAAGGTGAGTACAGCCCTAACAGGTTTTGCATGCTAATGGTTTCTGTTGGTGGGAGAACTATAGAGTTTCTGCAAAACTGAAAGCAAGCGCCCGGAATGCACTTGCACCAGTGTATGCAGCAGGCTTGGTGAATGCACCACAGCAAAAGTGATGCCAGACAGGTATCTGCTACTCTTCAGTTCTCTACTTGCACTTCTTACCCTGGTCATCAGCCTCAGACTGATGCAAATGTCAATGAACTGAAGTGGACAAAGAGGTTTTAAGGTTTTATGTGTTAGGTGTCAATGTGTTAGAAGCTGATACCAGCAGGTGCAACTTGCACTTTGTAGCCTCCGGTAAAGGCATGTCTGTGTTCCTGCAGTGCTGTCTTCTGAAGCAACAGTCTAACTGCACTTGGACAAGCTCTAACTGGGCACAAGGATAACTTTATGCTGTCATGAAATTAAAGAAGGAATAAAAATGTAAATGCCTTGTTTTTATTTAAGTGGTCCTTTGACACGCATGCTGTTCAAAACTGGAACCAGCTACAGGAAAAAGCTGAAGCATTTCTAATTCCAGAGGATGCAGAGTGCCTGTAACAATCAAAGAATGCAGTGGACCACCTAGTTCTACTGTGGACATCTGCTCCAGTGTGCCTGAAGCAATCTTCTGATCTGGAGCACCCACACGTGCGAGGCCAACGCAGATTGTGTTTTCAGTGATTGCTGTAAGAAAGAAGATTAAATGCTTCATTTGCTGACCAATGGGCCTAACATAAAGGAAAAAGTACTCAAAATGCTTAAACCCTTAATGCTGTTTTCTTAAACCTCCATTTCATAAATCACCAGAGGGGCCTAGAAAGAAGTTTGTGCTTCAAAGAAAATAAAGCTGTATCTTAGGGATGTTTATAAGTAAGAAGGGGAAGACAGCGGAAGTAGAACAGGAAATGCATTCAGGAATTGTGTTCACTTTGAGGAAACTGCTGTTCCTGATTCATTCTATGTGAAGGACAAAATGAAAGGATTTTCATTTTAACAGCATTTAAGGAATAAACTTCTAAAAGGAGGAACGTAGAATTTTTCTGTGGCACAACAATCATCTTTACAGCTGCTGTGATTTCACGCTTGGCCTCAATAAACACTGTTCGCTGTTCATGCTTGACCAGTGTTAAGAACTCAAGGTCAGAATCCCGGTTCTGCACTGCAGGGTTAACCTGGGTTTGTGCTGGTGCTCATGTAGCGCAGAGTGTGACTGGTCTGAATAAAACATAGCACTGATTTTTTTATGAAGCTCAATTGCTCTAAAATGCTCAGAGTCCTTCTGCAACTCTAACGTATCAAAGAGCTCACAGTTAAAGATGGGTAGAACCAGGGTCACCAGGCTGAAGCTTGGACTAAACCTCCAGGAGCTTGTTCATCTCTGTTGAACTACGCTATGTCCAGGCTCTGCCAAATCCATCTCAGGACCAGGATTTAAGGCAGCCCAATTCTACCATGGAGCAAAAGCAATGCAAAGATGGAGAGGAAAGGAGCAGAGCTTGGAGGCTCATCATTAAGTGTGACTTGCGAGGTGTAAATAGCAGGTAGAAACAATGCAGTAACAGCACCTGATTCTTCTCCTTGGAGCCTCCTGTTTTGAATAATTGAAAGAAGCTGTTCTGCAGCTTGATTCACACTCATGTAGCGTGGTGGCTCATAAATCTTCCTTCCTCTGCAGGGAAAGAAAAGTAGAGCAATTTCACATAAAACCCACTTCATCATCCCCAGCGTTCTTACAGTTTATTTCAAGAAACCTCTAGACCAGCAAATGAACCTTGCCCAGGCTGGGCCTTTCAGACAAGAGGCATTTGTAAGGAAGACACGAGGAGACTTCTGTGCTCTCACACCTATGAAACAGGAGGGCCTCCAGTTGGCAAATGATGTGAGCAAATTCAGCTGCTGGAAGCAATATGCAGGTTTTGTAGCTGCTCCTGAAGGATGGATTAGACTTCAAGTCAAGGGCAAAGTACTGGTTTTCTGTCAAATGCCCTGTAGACGTTTGTCTGATTACAGACTAGGAATACATTCTCACATGAAATGCTGCTTTCTTTGCCAACTGTGGCTTCAGTCAAACAGCCTTCATTTTGAAACTCCAGAATAAACAAACCTCAATGATACTGTGAGACTTCACAGATGTTAATTTAGAGCAGAGTTACAGCATGTGCATAAAGTAACCGTTTGTATTCGCCACTGTTGAAACAGAAGATTGCAGAGAGGTGATTAAGATGTGGCAAGAGCTCTCTTGAATACAGTTACATGAACTTGAGAGCATTTTCTATATATTGCTTATTTAGCTGTTTAAAAAGAGTGGTATGTATTCAATGCCTCACACTGTTACTAGCAAGTGTAAAGAAGAATGAATTCCAAACAGTGTTTCAGCTATTCATCTATTTGAGGATGAGACAGAACAGTGAAATAACACTTCATTTGCCAAGCTTAATCCGTTCTGACTTCATGTTTCTCACAGAAACAGCTCAAAAGATGATGCTTTGCTGCAGCTTCATTCAGTTACTGTAAATAAAGCCAGGTCCTAATGCACTGAGCAGAAAAGTTCCGCTCCTTGTAAGAAACAAGACTGTGGCCACTGGGAAGGACAACAGAATGGCACGAAAGTGCAGTCAGTATTGGACAAAGAACCTCTGTTCCTTTATAAATACACTGTTTTCTATACATCTTACAAACGTGTTTCTATACACTTTCAGAAAGGTGACTCACTTCATTAGATTCTCCAGAGACTGCTCCTTCACTTTAATATCTGTAGAACAAAACAGGTGTTAAAACACAGGTCCCCTACAAACTCCTCACTTAGTTTTTCTATGTATGTAAAGCTTAATTAAATGAGCAGATACTATAAATTTTATAATAGCATTTTAGTTATTACAGGAGCAAAGACTATGGATTAAACATTCTGCTGTTTCAGATGTTAATTAATCACAAAGTATTGGGATTTTATGCATGTAATTTTACCCCAAAATAGGGCTCGTTTCACAGACCTCACAGACAAATACAAGTACTTCTAAGTATTCAAATAGCAGGCTACAGGATAGCGAAATGCCAGCATGGTGAAGCACACCATGGTACTGGAGGTACTTGTAAATGCTGAGTACATTGTGATCACAAAAGGTAGAACAGGATGACTGATCAACAGCAATTACATCAGTGCCATGCAGGAACCTGACTTTCATTAGCGCTTCCTGTCCCCATGAACACTCGGAACAAGCTTCTGTTATGGGAAGAAGAAAAGGATTTGGGCAAAAATACAACAGAGAAAGGGCCAGGTTAGACTTCGCACATCTGCAACTGTGTGAAAATCTGACCACAGCCTGTTCAAGACACAATCAAACATCTGTATTCAAATACCCCCAAAAGACTATCGTGGTGAAAGCTGGATACATTTTTCACCTTGATTTTGAAGAAAAGTATTGCTTAAGTTATACAATCAACTCCTAACTCACAGGGATGCTGAAGAAAGGGGTGTAAAAACAGTTTACCAAATTGTTTATGTGACTGTCAAGTCACTTGTAATTCCAAAGCTTATCAGCACTTCCCTTTTTATGTGCTTCTCCAGTCTAGTTGGACAAGCAATAAATACATGGGCCCAAATGACCAAGTAGTGTTAAGGGAACAATTCGTTTGCAAATTGGTAGTTTTCAGGTATGAGCTACAATCAGATGCAGGTACCACAACTGTCCATGATATGGGACATGGGTTATAATGCAATTTTATCAGTTCAAACTTTTACTCTTCCACTACTGTATAAAAAAAACATACAGAGGGACATCACAGAAATGATTATATCAAATATCTACAGAATACTTCGGTTTACCATATTATAGTTGTTAGAGTCCTTGTTTAAACACTGGTCATCTAAAAAGTCATTTGTCAAGACAAAAGTCATCCTTCTTTAAAACAAATTGTCAGAATTCTGATATTTTGCCAATTTTAGCAACTTTGATGGCACTGGGAAATCTGGTGTGCAGTGATGCTTGCACACTGGTTTGCTGCTCAGGATCCTCCAGTTACTACTGACTGTTTTTACTTAAAATACTAATTAACTTAGCACTGAGAGATCCCAGCTGTGTCTAAAAGATGCTACAAAAGGTATAGAATTGTACATATATAAACATGTAAGTGCCTTGTAGTTTATATGCAGGCAGTTCCATGTTCAGTGTTCAAGGCCAGGTTGGACAGAGCCTTGAGCAACATGGTCCAGTGTGAGGCACCTCTGCCCACAGCAGGAAGTTGGAACTGGATGATCATAAGGTCCTTTCCAACCCAAACCAGTCTGCCTTTCCATGATCTTTCAGGAGCTACCCAGATTAGCAGAGTTATTCAGAAAGTGGCTCTGAGCTGAGAATTGCTGGGCAGGCTGAAGATCAGGCAGCACCATGGAAGAGCCTGGTGCCAGTGGTCAGTATTCAGTTCCAGCTCCACGACTGGCAAGGATGCTTTACAGCACTGAAGCTTCTCATGTGATAATCACGTTTCCCAAAACATCCTTAGATAAAAGAATTCAGGAAAAAGACTATCACCTTACACAACACCAATGTAGTTAAATGTACAGTTTAGCTCCCCAGAAAGTCAGATGTGCTGACCTCTAACCTAATGAAGTCAATAAGAGAGAGCTGCTAGTCGCTGCAACCTGACTTGGATTCTGAGCTAGATCTAGTTTAAAATCAGTCACCTTTAGAGTAAATCTGGGCCTCCTGCACCTATGTGACTTCTAAAAAGGCTTTGTTTCTTAGGGATTTTTTCACAAGGAATGAACAAATTCCTGACCACTGCAGCATGAACAATGGCTGAACTAAGAACACACACATCAATGTTCCAAGTTTTGGTGTATTTTCAAACATGCATGTTAGCTGAGAAGATTTGTTTAATCCCAGACTTCATCTCATGCCTATCACTCCTGTCTCTGGATGCTGTGGAAAATGGTAGCTAAGGAGCCCTTGGAGCTGCTGCTTACCAAGTAAGCACAAGGTGTGCATTCCGTTCTGTCTGTTCTTCTCAATCTTGTCAAAAAAGCTTTCTGGCTTCCATGTATCTGTCCAGAAAACTATGGAAACAGTCTCTCCAAAACTGTACAACTGCAAAACAAAGCAAAAGCAGTAACACACACAGTAAGAGCATGCAATAGAATGAGATAAAAACCATGAACAACTGGCGACACTGAAAAGTCCTGAACCTGGTTAAGAGTTTCATAGCACAGTACTCTCCTGTAAAACACTCAGGCTTGCCCTTTCACAGACACACAGCAAAACATAGCACTAAAAATAGTGCACCTTTGGAAAAAGCTGCCTATCTCTTGGCTAGTTTTAGTGCATTCCTTTGCATTCCCTCCTTTCTTTGTAAAAACATCTGTAATTAGTGAACTGGTTTTCTTCTTCCTAACAGAGATGTGCTGTTGTTCTTTTACTCTCCAAACAGTAAAGCATGTTAAAGAACAGCTAATGAACCACCTGTAAAGTTGTTACCTATCTCTGACTTCACCTTTCCAATGTGTGTGAACTTCCAATTTACTTTCTATTCTTTGTTCATTCTGAAGTCCTCCTAAAGGCAAAAGCTTCCTAAGATTAGCACCAAAATTCTTACTTATCATTTCTTATCTTGTCTAAGGCTAGATAACTTCTAATAAAGCCATAATACTGAGATCCTACTGATACAAGTGTATTAAACCAGCACTTTCCTGCAAGTAAGAAGAATATTGCTAGCCGATTCTGTGTCAAACATACTGATTTTATTCTCAGTCTTAACACTGTTTATTTCTGTAAATCCCTAACCTCAGTGAAAACACCTGAAGCAACAGACTTGCCAGTCATTTTCAGTGATGCAGAAGCCAGTGTCATACATAACCTAAGGCAGCATTTGGCTTGGAAGCTTCTGTAACCAACCTGTAAAAGGGCAAAACCATGCATCAGTTTTGGTGAATTCAGCTCTGGAACGGGGCAAGTCCAGACTGATTGTACAGCTGGCCAGTATTCTGTCTGCTCAAGCAATGGTCTAATATCCCCTCTTGCTCTGTAAACCAGGGAGGAAAAACTGTGTGTGCCTTGAGCAGAAAGAGGACTCTATGTAGAAGCTGCTCTGACAGCTCTGTCCCATCTGGGAGTTCCCCTTTACACACTTTCCTGCAGTATTAGGTTGTGGTTTTAACTCTTTCACGCTGGTAGAGCAGAATTTGAATCAAAGCAGAAACATGTTTGTTTTCAAGGGCCCAAAAGCTCAAATTTGAACCATTCATGCTGAGACAAACAGTGTTTATTCAAAGGTTCCTAGAATATTACTGAAAACATTTCCTCTTTTAAACATTTCATTCTAGCACAAGGACACACAGCGTACATTTCACAACCTAAAGGTTCTTCCAGTAAACTAAACAGAGGTTGGACAAAATGAATTGTTCCCGATGTAACCTGTTAACTATTTCAAGGCTGCGTCTAGAAGAATAACCAAGCTATGTTCTGCCTGGTTTTCAGGTGGCTACCTAGAACTCTTCCCATTTTGTTCCACAGCTGAAGAAAAAACTATTTAACAAGATGCTTCTCCTTCACCCCTTCATTGTTACAGCATCTGGGAGAAAGCTAGCAGTTTTATCTCATTGGCAGTATACCTGCAGTAACCAACAAGTGCTGAAATGTCCAGTACCAACCTAACTACCACCTGAAAGCCACCTCAGTCGTCTCCCCAAAGCAGCAGCCCTCATCCAGTACAGAAAGTGAGCTGAATTAAACTTGAAGCTTACCCCAGTCCCTTTGGCATTTTGTTAACCTGAAGGAGGGTGACTTCCACCTCTGGCTTTTAGCAAAGAAAAAGATGTGCAGAAACAGGTAAAATGTTATTATCTGGTAAGCAGTTTGTTAGGAATCATATCTTTTCAAGTGTTCTGCCACATATTAAAAACAAGTTGTGCATTCAGCTTTATATCCTCCAGCACTTGTTCTCATTGTTATTTTTCTCTTTTCCATTGATCATTACAGAGATTCTCCATCATCTTTGCCAACAAGAAGTTAAGTAAGTTATCCTTTTATGCAAGCACTGACAGTCAGATTCACTGAATCTGTCCTTTGTTCACCAGGTTTTGCATTAAGAATGAAGTTTGAATGTCAAAAGAATAAACCATTTTTGTCAGAAATTGTCTGCCCATTCAGTAGAAATCATTTCAAAATAGCTTCATGAAGTACTGAGATCATACAAAACTGTACTTACAGTCTCACACCAATACACTTGTTTTCTCAGCACCTAGACAGCACAGGCACAGAAGTGGCTTCTACACCAACAAGAGGGAACAGGATATGCTTTATTAATCTCCTAGAAATGCCTTTGCAACTTACATTAACTTAACTTCTAAAGATTAGATTTCCTAGCATTATTGCATATATATTTTTACTTTAAATTAAAGAGGGGAAGACACTTCTTTGAACTTTCTGGTACACCAGCGATCTACAAATGCTGTGGAAGTGAAGCAATAAAAGGATGCTCCTGTTGCGCTTGACTACCTGTAACCAGTTACCTTACAAGCACTCCTAGAGACACAAACAAGTATTTCTTTCTCATCCAGCATTTGACCTCTGCAGACACGTGGCATTTATGGAAACACAGGCACTGCTCCCCCACCAGAGCAAGCCTGCATTAAAGAAGCAACACATAACTGTATCAGAACTTGCATTTTGAACTCTCTCCCTGTACCTCATGCAGATTCACTTTGTTGTTCAGTTTCCTGTGCTGTGTTCTAATTTCTACCTCTTGAAGTCTAGTACAAAGTATCAGACTTTCAAGAAAAGACTTGCTGCAGAGAGAGAAGTGAGTACCCAAAACTCCACTATAAGGATTCAGCAGTCACAGAGGACAGCAGGTCCACTAGAACCAGAAGCCGCTGAAAGCAAAAAGGATTCTTTCCACCAACCATATAAGACTCAATAGGGCCCCAAAATTAAAGAAATTATGCTTGTCACTGGACTAAAATTGTGACAATTTGTTAGCCAAGGTGTATTACAGCACACTGAGGATTAACGTCATGATCTGAGACTGAGTTTAATAAGCCAGTGAAGAGCTCTGTGTATTTTCAGTGAAAGGATCGTGCTGTACGGTTGCGGACAAAGCTTTAAAGAGAGGCGACAGCAAATGCAGTTTATGTGTGCTGCACTCTACATGAAGCAGCTGGGCTTTAGGAGTGGACAAGATGTGCTCCGTACAAGCTAAAAGATCTCAAGCATCACATTTGCACTAATCATCACATTTGTTCAAGTGCCTCCATTCTGCTCAGGCACAAAAGAGCCGGAATTTCAAAGGGGGCTCAGTGAAATGCTTGGGCAGACGTTCTGTGCTCTCAGCTTGGAAACCTCCTTACCTTCTGCTCAGCGCTCAAAACCTTCACGGAAACATTTCAAAAGGTCATTTTGAAAGACCTCAGTCTTTGGAAATACTCCTCCCCACCCCCAGTAGTAATTGGCTTCCACAAAGCTTTGTGCAGTTTTGCAATGCAAGAGTTGAAGGCAGGAAGGGAGGCCAGGCCTCTCCACTCGGAGGCAATGCTCTGCCTGCTCACCAAATACTGCAGAAAGCTGTTCTCCAACTCACACTTTCATCACCTCTGAACATTCTCCAACATCCTGTTCTATTTACACACATACTATGAAAATCTGTCAGATTTTGGTCCTGAGGTGCTTGTTTTTAGTTTTCAGTCAATTATACGTCATATTCTACTTGTTTATATAAGCAGAATCAATTAAGAGGCCAGAATCAACTATGAAAGAGAATGAGCTGTCCCATGACCTCTGCTTAGAAAGCCTGCACACAAGTGAAATTTCACTGAAACTACTCCAACTTTGTTAATGGCCAGTCTGAACGACAACAGACACCTGAAGCTGTTCAGATCAACAGTTTTCACTTAAAATAGCCACCTAGCCACTTCTTTTGTGGCTCATCACCACAAAAATATAGGCTGTAAAAAGAAGGAACAAGCTGAGACTAAATAGGGAAATTAAAAAAGGAAGATCTCCCATCCCCTCTAGAAAGTACTAAAGCAAGCAGCAGAGAAGATGCAAGATAGTAGTAAAAGGGTCAGTAAGGCAACAGCTGCAGAGAAACCAAGAAGTAAACATTTCAAAACACAGACATTTATTTTTACAGCATCTTTCCCAGAATTATTGCTGTATCAGCTGCAATGGTGACAAAGCAGTTCTTCACTTCCAAGCCTACCGCCTTTCCTAACATTTCAAACGGCTTCAGAACTAGATATATGTCAGGGGAAGAAGGTAAAAAGGACTCTTGTAACACTTTGTGGACCTGGCACCTGCATACACATGCAATACCTGTAAACTCTGTAGACTGAACCTCTCCTTGGCTGCTGTGTTGAGATGGTCCCAGGTTATGCTGCAGACAGGTCTCACAGGACTGCACAGCCTGACCACATCCCACTGACAGACGCCACCAAGTTTTTTTCTCCTGAGGCTGCTCCTCAGTGGAATTTGGGGACCAGACAGCACCCTGCATTATCCCAGGTTGTTTCCTGATCAGTCTCAGTGCATACACACAGGAAAGCTAAGACATGTTGTGTTTATCTTTGTCATAAGTTTTGACATGATGCTGTGCAACATCCATCTGCATAAAAAGGAACCTAATAAGCCAAATTTTCCCCCTTGCCTTCTGTAATCAGTTAACAACCCTCCAGACCATATAAATCAGACTGAAGTGCTCCTATTGTTTTTTAATTTATATATTGTTGATAGAGAACAGCTTAGGAAGTTGGACAATCATCAACAAAGAAGTACCAAGAATCAGTCAAGCTTCATTTTAGCTTGTAATTGGTCATATGAAACAACCACAAGCTTAGCTCTAGCCCTTTACCACTATCTCACTTAGAACCACAAACCTTTAGCAACTTCTAATGCCTCTCATGAGAACCTTCACATGAAATTCAAAGTCTTTACCATTCACCCAGGGAGCTCTCATTTTTGTACTGCAAGCCAACAGGTTAGTTCAGCTGTCCAAAAACCTCCAGTCCTCTTAGTACATGCCAGAGAGAAAGGAACTGTGAAGACAAGAATGTCTGGCTGAGGGAAACCCACTCAACATGATTGCAGTCTTCAGGAGGCAGCTGAGACAAATTACATAAAAGCAGCTGAAGAGAAGAACCCATTTTTCTCTTGGCTGCCTCCTGTATCAGCACTTAGGAAACAGCCACTCCACAAGCAGAACAAAATTCAGCTGTCAAACACTCAGAAACTCCAAACAAAGTTGAACAGGGCAGGATTTTCCCTCCAAGGTAATGTTACCTTATCTTTAATGACCTCCAAAGACTCTTCCCAGCAATGCCAAACAATGATTCCTTCCCACTCTGGTCACTTGGATTACTACTCTGAAAGAGTTCTCTGAATGGAGAAAAAGAATTATTCTGATCAAATGAGTATTTCTGGGTCATGTTTCCTGGTGACAAATGGCACTGAGTTGTACAGCAATTGTGAGTAAGGAAGTAGTGTGACCAGTACTGATTTAACCTTTCAATGGCTTGAGAAACAACTTCTAAAAGGCTCAGAAGCTGGTAGTAAGTGAGAAAACCAACCAATGATGGGAAACAGTTTGTTTTAACTGGTGCTGAATAAAAAACATTTTGCACAGAGCCCCTCCCATCACAGCAAAGAGTATTTTTGAAGATGAGGGCACAGAGAGAGGGTGGAACTCAAAGGTTCCGTTCCTGCAGCTACTACAGGTTTTCTATTTGACTGTAAGCTCAGTGAGTAATGATAACATCCTTCAACTTCCTAACCTGCAAGTAATAGTTTTCTACTCGCTGCTGCAAATGTACTCACCTGTTCAGTAAACACTCAAAACCCCCACAGTGAGCACTGCTTTCACATTTCAGTGATCAGCTAGTAGTGAAAAGACAAAACTATTTCCTAACTGTAAATCTTACAAGAATGAGCTGGCCTCCAGACACAAAAAAATCAAGCTGAGTGACTGACAGACACAAGAGGACATGCAGATGTTTGTTCTAAAGCTATTCAGGTGGAAAGTGGGTATATCTCAAAAGAGAGGCAGGTCTCTGCCTTGACATGGGGTAGCTACCCTACCAAAATAGAAAGTAAATGCTTTTAAAACTAGCAACACCACTCTCTCAGAAATGAGAGACTCCTGTGTGGCTCCAATCCTATGGTTTGCCTCAAGCTTTGCACTTTAGTTCTCTATCACCTTTTTTTACAGTAATGCCATTATCTCAAGCCATTTTGAGTTGCATTGTTTACACAGGTCACTGTGATGCAGAATCTTTCTCACATGTCTGACCTCCCTCAAAGATGCACTACCAGAACTGGGTCAGAGAGAATTCAGTCCTGAGAGCACCACTCTGGTGACCTTCCCAAAGTAACCCAGATTAGGAAGGAAGGAAAAAGGTATAAATTTGAGATTCTGAGTTTTCTGCCTCTTTATTCTAGGGCTAAAAGCCTCAGTGATCAGCCCTATTCTGAAGGACTGAGTGTGGGTACGGATAAAGCCATGGAAGTAGGGCTGGGCTCTCCCTTTATTCTCAGCTTGCAGCGCTGGATCCTAGTTGATTAGCAATGTCTTGTTCACAAGGTAGCTGAGCAGTGATAGTAACTATAGTTAACTGTAGTAAACTACAGTTTACTATAGTAAAATACTAAGCTTTCCAAAGCTCTGGAACTACAGTGCAGCTGCTGGTGAGGAAAGCTGAACTGTCTCGCTAGTTACCATCCACTAGAAGTACTCTCTGAGAATGTCTGTCCTCTCTCCTTGACTTCCATGGCAGTATGCACAAACTGCATGAATTTCTTCATTGGTGGTTGTTCCCTACTACAACAGGAGTCAGAGTGATCAACATACCTACAATTCAGATACCAATCAGGAGAGGTGAACCTGCAGAGGACATGTTAAGAGGTGCTCACACACAGGCACTTTTCCTGGCTTCTCCTACCATTCCAGCCATATTAATTTGATTTTGAGGGTAATTATGTTCTTCAGCCTGACACAGTGAAAGTACAGCAAAAACAGCCTAAAAGAAAGAGCCACAGCAAGTCATAGAGCCTTATGCCCAGTCACACTAATACTTTGCTAAGTTCTACTATTCTCTGCTTTCAATAACTACAGCTCATGGTATCAACCTGTGAGAGCTTCCTAGAAGGGTTTAATTTTCAAAGTTAAAAGAAAAACACTTGCTCTTTGTACTAATACACTCTTCACCTGTGCAGCCTTCCAAGCTGAGTCCGTCAAATGGGCAAGGCAGTAAAAAAAAGTATTTGAAAATAGATTTTCACCCTTAAAATTTGACAAGAAATAGATCTAGGAAGGTGACAAACTATCACTAACGACTCCAGTAACTCACTGCTGTTCAGGAAAACTGCACAACTACCAGAATGTTGTTGGCTGCACAGAAATGTTGCTCTGATGACAAGAGACATGTTCTTTTGTGAACAGACTGGGCACTGGGCTGTAGCTGCATTTTACTGAGGCCCAATCAGCAGCTACAGCTCACTACACATGTGGCTTTCACAACAACGTATAAAGGTGTTTCCTGTTTTTCTCCAGTAAGAAAGAAAGAGGTTTTGTATTACAATCAGATTAACACAAGAAAAAAAGCCCAGCCTTTTCTGTGGTGAAGCAAAAGAGGAATCCCTGCTATACTTGACAGCAAGTTTGCAATTTAAACCACAGCAGCTCCAAAACTAAACTGATGGCAGGAGACAGCCATGAATGTAAAGACTGCTGGAAAAAACTTATGAACTTCCCCCACAGCTCTAATTAAATCACAGGCTGCTTTTTAATAAGAGACCCCTCACTTGCTGTTTATGCCTTTAAGACCAATGAAGAGTTAACATCCAGCTGGTTATAGTCTGTCTGGTAACACAATATGATCACCATTTCCTAAAATGCTTTATACAACAACAGAAATGTTGACTTATGGGAAGGCAGCCCCTCCCAAGCCAGAATGGAAAAGGGGACCAATGCCAGAGTGAATAACATCACATTTCCTTCATGGACTGTTCTCTTCAGCATGGGACAAGGAAATAATAAGCTAACCTCCAAAACTGCCTATGTGACAAACCTTATAGACTGTTTGCAATATATTCTCAGCTAGTTTTCTGCTCTTTTTGGTTTTTAATTCACCTCAGAGTTCTGTACTCCTCTTTCCTATGCCTAGCTGGAGTTGTGGGGGAAGCAGATTTTCAGAAACCCTAGTCACCTGTTCTCATTGGGAACGCAAGCCTTGTGCCTTCCTTCCTAAGAAAATAAAAGAACAGTAAAAAGATAGCAGGTAGTAGAAACTACTTGTCAACAGCTTGACAGCACAAGCAAACTTTGCACCACCTTGAAGCTAAAAGTGGAAAGGGTAAGCCCCAGCCCCAAGACCCGTGTTACCCACCCCAGTAAGTGCAGTCATGTAGCAGCTGCCATCTGTCTGCTGTACTTGTAGATTTTAGACACCAAGGAGCCTATTTCCTTCCTAAAAGATAATTTTACCCAAGTCTTACAGCAACAGGCAGGTATCACTAAAGAAGTGCTCACAGAAAGAATGATAAATAATGTGAATCCCGTGCTGCATTCCCTTCAGGATTAGCACTCACAGCTCAGAAGAGTGTCAAGGCAGTGTTGCTGCACTGCCAGATCACACAGGGCTCTCCCATTTCTAAACCATTCAAATGTGAACAAAGCCAGAGATAATACCCAACTTACTGCAAGAGACTTTCTGATGCTGGGCAGCACTGAGATAAGGAGATTGTCACTGTAAACTTGAAGATGTCAGTTGTCTGTTGAAATTAAAGAGAATGGTATTCTTTTATGTTATGCTAGGAAGGAATATTTCCTCCTTCAGTGATGAAAACCTGCTATTCAAAGCCTCGGCTCTTGTCTGTTGTACACCTACATTCCTGTGCTTGCCTTCAGTTTTGGTGAAGCAGGAGCTTGATTTAGCGGTTCCCATACACAGGGAATCATTCTGAACCTTAAGAGGGCAGGTTCTATGTTAAAATAATGAACGAAAACAAAAGGAGGAAGCTTCAAATAATGTATAAGTTATGATACATACTCTGCCATAATGTTTTTCATGCTCGAAGAGGAATAATAGACCTATATATTTGTAAAAGGGAATAGTTTGAAGTATTTTCTTGGGGAACACCAGATCTTTTCTACTTTGGCCATTCAAGAAGCACAAAACCTATCACTTGTTCTTCTAGTCCTTGGGTTGGCAAGCCTCTCCTCTCTCAGCAGAAGGGCATAAAAGTGAAGACAGGTCAACCTTGGAGAGAATGAATGCATCACACAGAAGATTCTGGAATCAGTTGTGATCTGGGTTGAGCACAGACAGGCTTCTGCACATATTCCTTTCATGACAAGACCAGTGTACCTCTCAACAGGATAACAACCTAATTTAAAACTAAACTTATCAGGTGACCATCAGTAGCAGAAGGAAGCCAACAAGAGCAAAGCCTTATCTGTAAAGTAACTTAGATATCAAAGTCTCCTGGTGCAGAGGGAAGTTAGAGAGCAGAGCAGAATAGAAGTGTCACTATTCATTTACACATGCGCTCATCAAAAGGGACTTCTGCTCATGTGCAGCACACTGAAAAGGAAGTGTTAACAAATTCTGACAACAGAAGTGTACAGTTCCTACAGATCTTCAAGCTTCAGATTGCAACATGCATTGCCATAGCAGCAAAAGAGCTCACCAGTTTTCAGTTCAGCACTTGTGGAATAGCGTATCTGTAAAAATGTTACCTGTAAACCACAGCAGCCCACTGCATTCATTATTGAAGCGTTATGAATGACCTTGTATGGAATCCCCAGTTTTACTGCACGTAGTACTAAATCACTGTGTGTTGTGGCCCTGTGTTAGGAAAATAAAGGAGTTAAAAACTGAAAAGATGAAGTGATCAAGTGTTACCAGCATTATAGTTTGTTTTGAAAGTAAAATTAAACCCTTCACAACCAGGGCAATGCAGAGGTGCCAAAAGGGCAACAATAACATGACTAATTGTAAATGGAAAGTAAAAACTCCAGTAAGGCTTCCATATGTCATCTTCCCTAGCTGAAAATACAGGTGTCCTCAATATGTTATGGTTCTTTGCAGATTTCTGGCATCATTAGAACTCTTAACACCACACAATTGTTACTTTTTAAAGTAGCTTTGGCAAGGACTTGAAAAGGAAAAGTTCCATTTATGCTTTGTCTTCTGCAGCTGTCTGCTGGACAACTGTTGAACTGTAAAGGTCAACTCTATTTGGCATAGACTTCAGCACAAGTCCAATATTTCCTTACTCGGGGTAGAGCCAGGCCTTCTCCCATCTGCACCAGTGTATGTCAGGAAAGCAACACACTCAAACAGAGCTTTGAACTGAGGTAAACTGCACGCAGTACTTGGACATCCTTAGACTAAATTGACTTTTATGACATTTAAGCCAAATTACTCAAATTACCGATGCCCAAGTTTGAGTGCTCAAGTTTTTCTGTAAGAATTAAGAAACTTCTAATTAAGCTTAGAACTGAGCTAAACTGGGCTCCAGGTCTAATGCCTAATAAACACCTTGCAGTGACTGCTGCAAGAATTCCTGGGCTTGTAGTTAACGCAATTGGGATTAGAGTCCTTCTAAGATGGTAAATATGAATCCAGCACATCTTTGAACTGCAACAGTGTTTACTTATGTATCTTGCTTGAATGTATGCTTACATGTATGCTTACATACATGCTAGGCACTCCATTTTCCCTGTGATATATGGAAATGCATTTGGCTAAATTTATCAAACCTAAAAGTGACCTTAGCCATCTCATTGCCAGGATGTACTACAGACTTCTGTGTAGCCATTACAAAGAAGGAAGCAAAGAAAGAAATTAGAATAAATAAATAGGAAGACTGCTTTCACCCTGGCCTCATTCAGTTGCCCTGACAGAATTCTCCTGATTTTTAGTCTGATAAATTTTGACACCGCATGTCTGACTACCACCAATCAGATCAGGTGCTTCAGACTGGAACACAAAAGTGGCAGCAGCTAGAAGGCTGTAAAGATCAATCATAGAATCATAGAATGGTTTGGGTTGGAAGGGACCTTAGAGCTCATCCAGTTCCAACCCCTGCCACGGGCAGGGACACCTTCCACTAGACCAGACTGCTCCAAGCCCTGTCCCACCTGGCCTTGAAATCACTTAAAACAGAATTTCACTGAAGGAAAAAATGAAGGAATCTGGATTTGGGAAACTGGAGACCATGATACACACAGGCTTCCAGGCATAGAAGAATGCAATAAAGTGATCTAAAACAACACTTCGGTTAGTAAACTGACTGAGTTCCTGACTTCCAGAAACAAACTTAGTTTAGGAATGCCTACTCTGAGAGAAGAGGGGACTAGTTTTAGAGTCTTGTATTATTCCTTTCACACACACAGGACAAGGAGCACTGAAGGATTTTGTGGTTATGCTAATACTGACCAAGGGATCAGCTGCCTTTAGTCACTGAAATTTGCTCCAGCCAGTATGTTCTTCTAATAGATCTGTCCATAATGATGGCAGCTGAAAGCAGTAATGCCCTTGTGAGTACTTGGCTAGTACTAGAGAAGGCTTCAAGGAGTCAGCTCTCTGCATCCAGAGCTTTACTAGGATTTTCTGTCACCAATACAGACTTTTAAGTGTTATGGATAGTAATGAGTGTCAGCACTAGGCTAGATGAAGGTGCGCTTGCGCGTATGCTACTAAACTTGTCAGGTTTCTGCTAGCACATCCATAGCTGTTACCACATACACACAGTGAACAACAGCAAGAACAACGGCAGGGGTACAGCTTGTTTTATCACTTGAACTATTGACCACCAAAACCTGAGCTTTCCTAAGACTAAAAACTCTTCTGACCTGCAAACATACTTGAAACTCTATGATCAGCTGCAGTCACACGGCTTCTACCCTCCTCCCATGTGGCTTCTCTTAGGACAGAAACATTCAGTACTCTTTCCTAGTAACCTCATGAACCCCTAAATCCTTAGGGGTCTGTGATGGCACAGGAGTTCTAGCTGCAATATTAAGAACATAAACATTTAGACAGAAGCAACTCATTTAAAAAAGGGTAGTTTTCCACAATAATGTAGTATATTAGTCAGAATTGAAGGATTTTGATACTGAAACGAATGATATGAGGCAGCTCAAGATACTGCTTACAAGCAGCCATTTCATTTCAATACATGTGGTTTGTTTTTTTCATCTTGTGTATTTATTATCAGTCACTGGATCAGAGTACAAAGGTACAGGTAATGTGGCTCTACACTTTATGTGAATCCTAGTTTTCATGTTAACATGTTGAAAATATAATTAATATTCCTGAAACACAGCATCATTCGCCCCTAAGTACTAATTTAATATCATATTCTCTTGCCAATTCCCTTCAACCTGTATTTACATAAATCATCTGCTTTTGACAGATGCGCACATTGCTCCTCTTTTTCATAAACTCTACTTTTTCACTCACAAATGGGCTGCTCAGTGATTTTATTTTTCTTGTGCCCCTTAACGCTGCGGTTTAAATCTTGAATCACCAGCTGGAGACTAAAAGCTCTTCTGTATAGCTTGACATTTATAGATTGATGATGCCTGACTGCAAAGACAGAAGGAGATCCTTCTGGTGATAGAAAATGACTCTACTTTTCAGCAGGAATAAAAAGTAGAAACAAAAGGCTTAATAAACCAAAAGGAGAAGACATGTTGAACAACCTACGTGATTTTAAAAACTAGCATATATCAAAGCAGAAGCACTGTACAACAATCAGTATCCATTCTAAAGCAACTGAGCGTGAAAGCCACATTTATAAGTACAAAGAGCAACTAAAAGAATAGTCTCTCAAAACAGAGTATATTTCTTCTTTATGTGATATCCTAGAATTTCTTGTGATAGTAGATAAATCAAGGAACAAAAATATTCGCTATAGAAGCTAGCATGAAGAATGAAATAAGTGACTGCTGAAGGAAAGAATCATACATCCTGGAGGGTCCCCGTTCCTAGCCATAAGGAATATCTGGGCAAGGAAACTCCAAAACGATATAAAGTGTAGACATTTGCATGTATATTTTTTATGCAATAAAACATGCTTCTGGTCTGAAAATCAGCTTCTTCATGAACAATTACAATTATGCGGTATGGCTCCTTCCTATTGAAAAAAGAGAATGACCAAGCTACAGCAGTACTTCAAATATTGCTTTGTCTTACCCAAAAGGATCACCAACTACAAGAAATGCGACATCACAAACATCAGCGTCTTTTAAAATGTTATCTGCTTCTTGTTCCACTGTTTCTCGGTCAGCCAAAATCAATTCTTTTCCATAAAACTCTTCCTAGAAATTGAAATTAATAAGAAACAGCAAAATTAGACACTTAGGAACACTGCCAATAGACACTGGAAAGGCCAACTTTATTATTCTCCCCAGCAGTCTGACCCATGTCTTAAGAGAAACCTTCCTCCCCTTGCAAGAACACCTGAGCTTCTCATAAAGTAGCTTCAAAACTGCCCAAAATTTGTCAAGCTTGTTATTCTGATACTGACTTGGGGTTTTATGCCTTTTGTGTCAGTTGAGGAGCTGCTCCAAACGTAGCTCAATGACATCTTCATGCCAAATGTATCTGGGTGGACTCAATTTAACTGGTCATCCTACTGCAAGGCATCCCCTCCCACAAGACTGAGTCTAAGTGCTTAGGTTAACTGTAACACTGACATCAAACCAGAGGCAAATACGACATTAGCTACACCACAACACAGGTGGTTTTGATTATCCCTAGTACATTGTAGCTAACCACATCTAAGGAGTGATTTTGTATTAGTTCTTCATCTTCAATTCTCCGGAAGAAATACTTTACTATGCATATAAGTAAACATGTATTTGATCACGTCCTTTGCTTTTCTTCAGCAGCTCAGTAATTATTGTGTTTCTTTGTAAGTTTTTAATGCCTTTATTTCCAGAATCAACCTCACATGTGTAATAAAACCTCCGTTCTAGAACATGTTACCTGAACATATGTGTCTTTAAGTTATGTACCACTACACATTTCTGATGCTCTTCACATGATTAGATAAAGGTTTGCTCCAGGGTACAGGCCAAAAAAGGAGGTTTTGTTCTAAATAGCATTCAGAAAACTTGAGTGGTATTACAAGTATTAACAAATTGATAAAGTCTCCTGTGACTTCAGCGATAGCTTCATCTTTGCTCACAAAGAATAATGAATTGACAAGAGAACCGTCATAACTGTAGAGAAGCAGAGCAGTGCTTCCATGAAAAAATCCATCCCATACTGAGTACTAGATATGGGACTCTTACTGGGTTTGGTTCCCCTTTCTAAAGATGACTTCCTCACCATTTTTGTGTAAGTTTCTCTGCCTGTGCCAAAAATGGAATCTATTTACATGCTTTGAGACTGCTCTACCATGCAAATCAAAGCACATTCATTACAGAATAAAAAAAAGCACTCTCCTGACAAAAAATAAGATGCAGACCCACTGGGAGGTCACGGGCTCCAAACAGTTCTTCCACCAAACTGAGGTCTGATTTAGATGGTCAACATCAAGCAGCCTTTAATATATGTTTCAGGCCAACAAGATAAACAAGGCAAGTCATGTCATTGGACTTTTGAGATCTGGTTTTAAAAGCATCGACACAGGAAGATTTCTAGAAAATTCCTGAGAGAATATAGAATATAGAGTTCCTTATCTCTTGAGAGCTTTCCCATAACTTTTCATGGTGTTTAAGGGAGGCTGACCTTCAGACTACTAGATAAACCACCCAGAATTGTCACTCGTATGGAAACTGGGCTTCGTAGTTAATTCCTACGTTCCTTCTTGGGCAGTTTCAGGTTAAGATGGCATCTTTTACTTTGTTTTTATTGATCACTTTTCCCAATTACCTCATCTTTGGGACTTCAAGGTTTTCAAAAGACTTAATAAAAAACAAACCAAACAAACCCCCAAAAATAACCACACCAAAAATACCCAGCATTTTTCTATTATTCAATGTTTTATTTTCAGCTGGCTAGGAATCCATTTTTTAATGGCAGACGCAGATTTTGCAAAGTAAAAATATCCAAATGCAATTTTCCAGCTATCCAACAACAAAAAAACTAACATTTTGTTTTGACTGGATTAATTTCAATTCAGATTGCTTCAGCGTACTGAAAAAAACCCCAAACCCAAGCCCGAAATAGGGAGTAATCTTCATTTCAAAACACAGCAGATAGGCCAGAGATGGCCGCAAATGTTCTAGCCTAGGCTTGTGTCTGAAAACCACATCATGCTGACTACAAGCACAAGCTAAATTCTCACATGCTGTACGCACATACACATACATGGGCAGAGAAGTGATTCAGAGCAGCCCTGTGAAGAAGGACTTGGGGGTGTTGGTTGATGGGCAACTGAACAGGAGCTGCTTCAGTGTGTGCTTGAGACAAGAAACCACCCGTGTGCTGGCTGCATCAACAGGAGTGTGAGCAGCAGGTTGAAGGAAGTGATCCTGCCTCTCTGCTCTGCTCTCATGAGACCCCAGTTGGAGTATTGTGTACAGTTCTGGTGTCCTCAACATAAGGACATGGCACTGCTGGAGCAAGTCCAAAGGAGGCCACGAGGATGATCAGGGGCTGAAGCACCCCCCGTATGGAGGGAGGCTGAGAACATTGGGGCTGTTCAGCCTGGAGAAGAAAAGCTGCATGGAGACCTCAGAGCAGCTTCCAGTGTCTGAAGGGGGCTACAAGGATGCTGGAGAAGGACTCTTCATCAGGGACTGTAGCGATAGGACAAGGGGTGATGGGTTCCAACTGAAACAAGGCAAGTTCAGGTTAGACCTAAGGCAGAAGCTCTTCCCTGTGAGGGTGCTGAGGTGCTGGCACAGGGTGCCCAGAGAAGCTGTGGCTGCCCCATCCCTGGCAGTGTTCGAGCCCAGGTGAGAAGGGGCCTGGAGCAACATGGTCTAGCATGAGGCAGTTCCAGGATCAGTGCTCAAGGCCAGGTTGTACAGAGCCTTTGGCAATCTGCTCTAGTGTGAGGTTTCCCTGCCTATGGCAGGGGGCTAGAACTGGATGATCTCAAGATCCTTTCCAACCCAAACCACTGTGTGATTTTATGATTCTGCTATGGCTATACAGCATCCAAGACCCAGGCAGCATCTCTGTATAGCACTACATAGCTTTTGGAGGCAAGATCAGTGTTCTGTGGGTAGATAAGCTCTTTTTTGGGTATTATTTCAACATTAAACTGTACCTTTCTATTCCCAGTGAAGCCATCAGAGTTATAATTTGTACATGTTTACTACTGTTTTCTTCCATAAGGTGTGTTTGCTAATAAAATTTTTACCTCCATGCTGTTCAACAGCATATCTCTGACTGAACAGTGTGTGTTCTCTAAGTCTCAAAATAGTGAGACAACTTGGCCCACCAGGAAACATGGACATGTGAGATAGTCAAACTGTTGTTCCCAGCAGGCACGCCATACTACCTCAGGCTGAATCAAGAGATTCAAGGCTCCAGAAAATGTATTTTTCTGATATGTCTTTTGATTTGTTTGTTTTTAAACAGATCAGACCTTTTTCTAACCAAATTCACTCAGATCTCCATATATTGTTAGAATTTGAGATGAAAACTAGCGTCAACACCTGTAGGAAGGAAAGTTTTTTCTCCATTCCAGTCTTCGCACAAGGTAGCAAAACAATTTCTCCTATAAAAATACAGACTCACAAAATCACTAGGGTTAGAAGGGCCCTTTGGAGATCACCCAGTCCAACTCCCTACCAGGGCAGGGCCACCCAGAGCAGGATACACAGGATCGTGTCCAGGTGTGTTTGGGATGCCTCCAGAGGGAGACTCCACAACTCCTTGGGCAGCCCATTCCAGGGCTTTGTCACCCTCAATAGAAAGAAGTTCTTCCCCATGTTTGTGTTTCAGTTTATGGCTCTTCATCCTGTCGCGGGGCACCACTGGGAAGAGCCTAGACCCCTCCTCCTCGCACCTCCCTTTGAGCTATTGATCTGCATCGATGAGATCCCCTCTCAGACTGCTCTTCTCCAGGCTAACCAGTTCCAGCACCCACAATCTCTCCTTGTAAAAATGATGCTCCACACCCCTGGGCATCCTTGTTGCCTCCGCTGGACCCTCTCCAGTAGCTCATTGTCTCTCTTATACTGAGAAGCCCAGCACTGGACACAGTGCTCCAGATGTGGGATCGCCTCCCTGACCTTCTGCCACACTCCTTCCGATGCACCCCACGATACTACTGGCAGCACGTGAGAGTCACCTACATACCTTTTTGGAGATCACACACCACCAGTTTCTCCTGCTGACATTACTGACCTACCACCCTCCTTGGCAGGAGAGGCAGTAGGCCCTGTGGGCCACCAGCGGCCAGACCTACCAGTGCTTCCTTGCCCACCGTGAGGATGGACGTGTAGGCCTCCAGGTACACCCTGTGGCACTGCCTCACCACCTCCAGCCCCTTCACCGTGATGTCCTTGGCATCTCCCAAGCCCAGCCCGACCAGGTACAGCATGCTTCGGGAGATCGCTACAGCCGCCGGGCCCAGGCTCACCGTCAACACCACCACCTGTCACAGGAGGGAAACGGGCATCAGCTCCCTGCACAACTCCCCGCTCCTGCCACCCGCCTCTTGACAGCAGGGCAGGCCCACCCCACCTCACACACAGCCCCGGGCGGGCCCACCCCTACTCATACACCCTCTATACACATACACATACACATACACATACACATACACATACACATACACATACACATACACATACACATACACATACACATACACACCCCCGAGCCCAACACCCATACCCCACCTGCCTCCCGCCCGCCGCCAGAAGCCACGCTCCCGTCACGCTTTGCGGTGCTTTGCGACGCTTTGCGACGCTGTGCGGCCGCAGGGGTTGCCGGGAGTTGTAGTCTGCGCGGAGAGGAAGCATGGCTGTGGCGAAGCTGAAATGCCCCGTTCTGCCGCTCGCCAGCGGCTGCAGCATCCCGGTGCTGGGGCTCGGTAAGTGCCTCGTTGTGAGATAGTGCGGTCACGGCGAGGCCTGGCCTGGGCCCGGGGCTCGACGCGAGGAGTCTGGGCTGGAGCCCCGAGTTGAGGCAGACCTTGCGCCCCTCCCTGGGGGTATTGCTGTATTCCTGTTTAGCGGGACCTTCTGGGGCGTCTCCTACTGCCCTGCAGCAAGACAAGGTGGAGAATGGGTGTTTTTCCGTTGAGGAGTACAAATCATAGAATCACAGAATCATAAAATCAAGTAGACTGGAAAAGATCACGAGTCCAACCGTTCACCTGCACTGCCAAGGCCACCAGTAACCCTGAGGTTAACCCGTGGCACTGAGGGCCTCGTTTCCACGGTGTGTGAGCACTTGCAGGGACGGTGACTCCAGCCCTGCCCTGGGCAGCCTGTTCCAATGCCTGAGCACCCTCTGGGGAAGGAATTGTTCCTCAGCTCCATCTAAACCTGCCCTGGTGCAGCTTGAGGCCGTTTCCTCTTTTCCGTCCCTTGTTTTTTGGCAGCAGAGCCCAGCCCCTCCTGGCTCCATCCTCCTGTCAGGCAGTTGTAGGGAGCGATAAGGTCCCCCCTGAGCCTTCTGTGCTCCAGACTGAACCCCCCCCTCCTCCCCCCCAGGTCCCTCAGCCGTTCCCCATCACACTTGTGCTCTAGGCCCTCCACCAGCTCCATTGCCCTTCTCTGGCCCCGCTCCATCACCTCAATGTCTCTCTTGTCGTGAGGGGCCCAGGGCTGAACACAGGATTTGAGGTGCGGCCTCGCCTTACACTTCCCCGAGGTGTTGCTTTGTGGTTTTTTGTTTTTTTTTTCTCCGGGCTTGGTATCAGACTTTTCTTTAAAGCAGACTTTCAAGCTGTGATTCGTCTCACTGGAATGTTTTCTCTTTTTGGCCAGCTGCATCTGCTGTAGTTAAAAGCCTGTGTAGGAATCTCAGCCTTGGGAGAGTTAGAAGGTGTGTGTCTTGTAGCTGTGTATGTTGAATTCAAGCACTGTGTCAGAATCTTGGGTGAGGGAGGTATTTTGGTTTTTCTTTTGGAAGCCATATTTTGGTAACATGATACTGAAGTTTAACAGTTTTCAGTTGTTGCTCGTACAAATATGTACCACTTTTAGGAGGAAAAAGATCTGCCTGAAAATACAAAAAATGTAAAGGGGCATTAATTTTCTTATAATTTCCATTTCATTATATTATCAATTGTGCCATGAGAAGTTCTGCAATAGAGCTGATTAAACTCTTAGAGAATTTCTTTTCTAAAATGTGGGGAAAATGAGAAGTCTTTTAAGACAATGTCAGTTTGAGTTAATGATAATAGTGGTAGATCAGGAAAGCTGCTGCATTCAGTCCTGGCAAAAGAAGGCTACAGACTAAGCAGGATACACTCCTGCAGTGAGAGCTCAGGCATGAAAGTGTCTGTGAAATTTGAAGGACCTTTTTTCTCTTTTTCTTTTGATTTACATGGCAAGCTAAGCATTTATTTTCCCTCAGCCCTTTAAGAAAAGGGGAATCTGAACTCTAGATGGTACAAACCCAAGACTGGCTTGCAGAGGAATGCTCTCTTTAGTTATAGGAATTTAATAATTCCTATAACTAATATAATTTAGTTATAGGAATTTAATAAAGCCAATATTCCTTTACATAGGAATATTTGCTTTATACTATTCTGAATTCCAAATCCGTGTAATTGGTGGATTTATTCGCAAGAGCCAAACTAGTAAATGATTAAAGGACATTTTTTTCCAGCCAGCATAGGACCATGTGAGCAAAGGAGGATTAATTCCAGCAGTTCTGTGCTGTCAGAGCTCTGTCCATGCTGTACAAATAACAGACCATTAACTCTCCAAAGCAGGAGTTGTAGCAGAGTGCCTGGAAGGTGTGCCACAAACAGGCACACGCATGCCATCCACTCAGCAGTGCCCACTGCATACCTGATCAGATCTCATCTGCCTTTTTATACAGTTAAATTAGTTTTTATCTCTTGTAAAAGTAAGGAGTTCATTTATCTCTTGATTAAAGCCTCTGGTTCTTTTGGCTTATATTTGATCATGTATTTCTTCTTAAGAATCTTTCCAGAAGCCCCTTTCATTCATAGCACATTCTAAAACATGAATACCCTTCCCAATCAGTCTTTCATGATGCAGTTTTATCATGGGTCAATTCTGTATCCCAAGTTTTTAATTACATAAACATACAAATCAAAGGCTCTTAACAGTCTTTGTGACAATAGAGTTAATATATCACGCCTGTATCGATCTAAGCTATAAAATAAAATGACCCTTTTGCTCCTTTTGTATTTATCCCATGAGTCTCTACCGACTTCAGAGCAATTATTTAGGATTTCCATTAGTATAAAGGAAAGAAAAATTGAAGCTTATGTGGATTTTAGTGTATTAAGCCACTTAAGTCAATAGAAGTTGGCCTTTGATTTTAATAGGGCTGTTCTTTCTTCCAGAAACACTAAGTGAATAGAGGTAGTTTGTAATGCTTGTTTGGAAGTACCCAAAGTCATTTGAGCTGCACATATTAAAAAAGTCCTAGCAACATCAGCCAAAAGATTTAAAAGTCTCCAAAACATTGATAATTGCTTTTACCATGTATTTATGTGCACACATGTGTTTGTAAACATGCAATATGTGGATGCCCAGGGTAGGAATTTGACATTGTACTACATCTATTAACCACAAGTATACCTGATAGAGCCCTCTCTTACACAGTCCCTATATGGGCTAAAAGTCCCTAAATAAGCAAAAAGACCTATGCTTCTAAAAAATACTTCTTTCTTTCCTTTCACAGTGTTTTTGGAGGGATAGGTAGGTTGGTTGTTTTAACCTGTGACTTTTTGCCTATTTCTGGAGGTTGTTTTAATGAACTATTTCAAGCTATCCATGGAATCACTTGTTTGTTATTTGGAGCTTGCATTTCTTAGGTGATTGGGAGAATAAGCTGACTGGAAAGCAGACAGGCAGAAAGACTCCTTTGTATTATCTACCAAACAGCATCCTGCTTGCTGTCCTTTTGTTGTACTAATAAGTAGTGAATAGTTGATTTTCAAGCTTGAACTCAGACTACAGTAAATGGATAGTAACGTGTAAGATCAAGAGAATTAAGTTTGTAATTGTCCCAATAACTTCTCTCAGGTATGGCTTCCAAGGAGCTTCTCTTGGCATACAGTGATGTCACATAAGCAGGATTTCGTTCTTACACATCACTTACCTATTCTTGTCTTGCTAGTGTAACGCTTGACATAGAGTTTATCCATTCTGCAGCTTTTTGAGGATCTTGTAAGAGATAGGAACCAGGCACATAGTTTTAGGGAATCCTTGATATCTTGCTCTAAAATATTGTGGGTTTAAGAAGTGAGGGAGAGGTCAAGATGCCCCATGCCTGCATTTGTGGTCAAGCTATAAATAGGATGGCATGCAGCCTGACACAATGCAATCTTTATCTGTGGTAGGTGTCCCCACCTCACTGCTCTTTTACAACTGAATGGCTTATTTTTGTTACAGTCTTACTGCATTAACTAACATTTGCAGCACAGAAAATTTACCCAGCTATGAAGGAGAGAACTTTCATCAATGAGGCTGCATTTTCTGCAAGGTCATTTTCTGTGGGATTTAAGATTTGATTGTTTTTTTGTTATTTCTTATCCCTCCAAACATGCAGACATAATTGTTATCTATGAAAAGTCATCTTTGAGAGGGAGGATATGTATGTTGCCTCTCTTGCTAGATAGTCGCTAAAAGTTTCAGAGAGAGATAAATATGCATGAGCTGATTAAGGTGGTTAACAGCTATCCAGTTTTGATTAAGGTGGTTGCAATTATCCAGTCATGTCCATTGGAAGGCAGCTCAGATATGCAAGTTGCTTCGAAGTGATGAAACCCCTTTTGCAGTAGCTGAGAGCTGGAGTAGGAGACACGTAATGTGTTTCTTGGTCAGAACGTGTTACTCAAGAGAATGCAACAGCAACCCAGGATAGGATTTTGCCAAAAATATCTGTTCCTTCTGTTGAAGCTTCAGTTGTCAAAAGGTGTTGGTTTTTTTTTTAACTGGGTTTTCTACTTTTCAATGGGTTTCCATGTCACAGCTGCTTTGGTATCCAAATTTGGACAGGAGAAGTAAGTTGGTGAAGGCTTGTTGAAAAAGGGGAGATAGGACGAAGGGGGTTAGGTGGCCTTTCATGAAGTTACCGTTCTCTTTCTTAAGCTTTGTGTTCACTCACACAAACTGTTCTTGGTGAGGATGATCCATTTCCACTAAAATCCCTAGTGAGAAGGGTGGATTTTTACACCAGAGAAGGCTGTGTACTGTGCACAATTTATAATCTGCTGAAAGGTTACTTAAAATAACATGCCAAATTCTTTCCATCCAATGTTCTGTATTTACTTAGATGAATACTTATACTGTGTTGGATCTGTCTTGTGTTCAGCAGAAAGATGAGTCTATTAGCAATGGTAAAACAAGCTGACTTTCCTGAGAAACCTACTACAAGGCAGCCCACCTGTGTGTTAGAAATATGCTGTAGAGCTAAGTTTGAATTAATAAATAAAACCGATCTGAATCCTGTTTACTGTATGATTATAAAAACTGTTGATAAGTTTCCATTTCTTATGGTTTGATTCTAACAAATGTGTCATTATTATTCATATGCAGAGGGTCGGGCATGTTTACAGTCAATGATAATTGTTATTACAAAGGCTGCTTTCAACTAGAGTAGGCTCAAGTCTAAAGTGATCTGACATTTTGGCCCTAATACTTGATGCAAGTGTAAAGCTATGCCCCAGAGAATACATTACCTCATAATGGCTTTAGATTGCTTTAGAAAATGGATACATTCACTATCTTGCTAAGAAGATAGCTATAATATCTTTCCGTATTTGCAAGACTTACTTTTATTAGTGTTTTAGAAATACAGGGCAAATAACTGATACAAGATTACAGTGTTCTGAAGTCAGTGTAGTTATAGGAGATAGATGTACCTGAGAGTCACATGCTT